CATACGAGTTAAGGAGATTGGAAAACGTCTTGTCGACTTTGGTGTGATCGAGGTTCTGACTCCTCGACCAACTGTAAACCTGTAATAAGGTGGGATAGAGGGTGTTTTTGGTGAGCAAAGATTACAGCAGCAAAACAGCTATTTGGCTAAAAGTTTCTGAAGAAATCAGGGACTGAAGCTTGTTGGCTTGTTTGCAACGTGAACTTGGATTTTTACTTTGTGGTGAGAGGGGAAAAGAAAGATTCTTTAGATTAGCAGGGGGAGGGGTTTGGTGCTTTATAGTCAACATCGGCTCAATATGGCTCAGGGTCTACTTCTAAAAGACAACGCGTCCAGATACAACGGAAGCGCTAAAGTGTCTAGCACCGCTAATAGGCCAACACTTTTGGAGGCTTGAAAATCGGGCTTGGCCTGACCCGCGCACAAGGCGGTGAAAAACACCTCATGGTTGGGACCTGCAGGATCAAATTACATTGCATGTCATGATTGGGCGGACAGCGAACCATCTTGCTGAAGTTGACGGCAGCCCGGATAGGACGGGGTGAGCTGAGCTGTGCGGACGGACTTCGGGCCCATGGAAGCTTCCACGTTAGCAGAAGATTTAACGGCTTTTTGCTTTTCAATCTCAGCTAAGGTACCTTACTTTACGAAGGGACTAATGACGAATTCCAGCAGTTAAGGTACGGACTAGATGTGCTGAATTTCAGCCACGATAAGCGTGTGGGAATTAAGGTAGGGAGGGAGCAACTCCGAGCCGAAATCCATGGCGTGGTCCGTCAACGAGGCCACATCATGCATTGGTCGATGCACTTGCAACCCGGAGGTTACCTATGTATATTTTCCTATCTGAACAGAGGACCATTTCAATACTCGTAAGTGTTCAATCGTTTCCACCATAATTCATTCCGTCTTTATTTCTCATTCTCATTATTCATTTTCATTTTACTTTTGTTTTAACTTTAGTTTCGTGACCGAGCCTCGGCAGCCACTCTGCCATGATGCAAGCAGCAAAACCAACCCACACTGCCCATCATTCTCCGTACTTTGGACCCTCCATACTACGGAGTACTGTGCTCCGTAATGGACCTGATAATCAATGTGGGGGGACGTTTGCTCGGTTTCCCCAAAGTGGCCCATCAATGGTCTGGAGCCATTGGGAGCTTTCGTGCTATCTGTTCTTAGTCTTTGACTTTACTCAGCCCGCCTTGCTCAGTGCGGGTGAAGTCGGTCTCAAACGGCGGATCCATGCGGACCTTGAGGCCCGAGATCGCGTGCTTTGTGAGCGAGTAGCTGTGTGTACCTGCACGAGTACGCGTTGGCTGACATGTGCTAATGCAGACATTGGGTAGAGATCGCCATCGACCGCCTTTCCTGACCGCATTTATTGCGTCTGTTGGGGCATTTTGCCTGCAAGGAACTAGGTGATATATCGTAGCCGGGACCATCGTGTATGTACGAACATACCGAAACTGCAGCAAAGCTGCCAATCACTCCCCCCAATGAGCATGAAGCTGACAGCCAGTGTTTAATGCGATATTTTGGTCGGATAAACACGTCGAGCATGAGTGACACGAAGCAATCGGCAAAGTGTGTGGACAGCTGGCGGCTTGGCATCCTGGCATCCTCCTGCAGGTTATGTATCGTATATGTTCTGGCTCTATCGACGTTGATAGCTCAATTGGTAAACGATACCTATTGAAATGTAGGTGGCCATAAGCTGTACCGCCAACAGGAAATTACCACACACCGCACACGGCTAAAGGACAATATGCTTGTAAGGTACCCAAACTTGGCATTCAATGGACTGGGAAAATGCATCTGTGCCGCTACCCTGCATTCCTATCTTTCTATGCTGGGAGGGCCATATTACATGTTCTCCGTACTCGTACATGTGCTTCACCTTGTCATACCTGGTGCATGTACAGTACCCAGGGCAGCATTCAACGTGTAGGATTGCAGGCAGGGGAAGATGATAAGACGGCATACCAAGTGCAACCAACGACATGGACTGTGTAGAGTCGATTCTCACTCAGCTCTTGCTCTAACGCAAAGCTGCCCGTGCATCAGCCTTGAACTGATCTGCTGTGGTTCGGCAATTGAGCACGTGTCTTGACTTATTGTTCAGATGACATAGGGCACGAAGACCTGGTCGGAAATACATGAAACCGAAACAGTGAAGCTCAAACAGCGTGTCATGTCGCAGATAGACCGAGATACCTACTGCACCTGCGCACGGCAGTGGCTGGACTGTCAAAACCCCCTGGTCACGGCATCTCCAGGGATATCTTCTAGTGTTGCAACCACGGAGTATTAGCCAAGGCAACGCGAGTATTACAAGTACTACCGCATAAAGAACGCAACATGCAGGAGAGTGCTCGTATGTGACTAAGGCCATGGACGCGAGCTTACATGTACATGACCTTGACTTCATGAGCATTCTTTCTTCCGCAGAAAGGCATTTGGCCTGTTAGTGCTGGTTCACAAAGGCCACTCGAGTGGTGGAATTCTCGTCCTTCGAAGATCCTCTCTACAGAGCCGCTTGGGGACTGTACGAGTACAGGATAGAACACAACGACCAGGGCTAGCTTTGGATGAGACGCTGAACCGCCTCATGCGACGTGCCAGGGTCAGTGGCCAACCCAAAACAGAGGCCCGCCAGGATGACCATCGGTAGCAGCTCACTTTAGTAGGTGAAATCATACAAGCTTAGTACCCCATACTTGCTGTGGAGGAACGATACGCCGCAACGCAACCGAACAGAGATGATGATCACCGATCGGGCTCGAAAGAGGAAATGAGGACACCGGTGATGTGCTGTGCGGAGAACGGGCACGGCAGCGGAACGCAACGCCAGCCTCGTCACCTTGCGCTTCCCAGGTGGGCATAGCAGAGGGTATTCGCTGTAGAACCGAAGCTGCGCCGATTCTTGTCATGCGGGCGATGGAACCAACCAACAGCTGCCGTTCATTGTCTCTGCCTTTGACCGGTACCTGTATCTCCCAGTCCATCACACACACATGCTTCATTTGAGACAAAGAGCTATTGTCCACGTGCGGCTTCTGTTCTTTGCAGCCTCCCAAACAATGTTCCATGCGAAACAGCCCGGCCGAGTCGAGGGGCGCTTACCGGGAGAGTTTGATACGGTCCAGAAGAAAACGTGAAAGGCTGAAGAATGAAGAGGAGTGACAGCCGTCCAATGGTTTCAGTGCATGAGCAACCATCTGGTACAAGCACTTGTACACTACTTCGGGTGTGGATGGATCCTTCGACGTCGATTGGGGGTCTTTCAGTGGGCATGGAAATTTGATTATAGCGCCTTTGGCGACTCTAGCACGGCCCTCTGACCACTGAGGCTGCCGTCCCTCCCCCGAAAAGGGATTTGATCCATTTTGATCCCCTCAGCACCCTCCCCCCCTTATCAACACCAACTCGAACGCACAGGCACCGCAGGGAATCTGGCAGGGGTTCCCTGCAAGGTACGCGACCCAAAAGAGCGAGCAACATTGGCGCTACTGCGGGCCTCATTTACGCAGCTGTCTTGTTCCAGCGAACGCTCCGGGCTTGGTGCGCTGTTTGTTACAGCCTGCCGGGATCACGAGGTGGGAATCTTCACGGCGATGGGAAAGATGAAATGAGTCTTGACTAAACGGGTGGAGAGCGAGCTAGTCCGTCTGATACGGAGTTAGTGGCAGGCTAACATGGCCAATCGAGCACCGGTTTGGTCTGCACCGCGAAGAGCCATGGGGATGCGTCGAGCAGGAGAATCTGCAGCGCTGCCCTTAGTCTGGATTGGACACCGGCCGCTGGCTTACGGTATTGGATATTGGACTGACAAACAATAAAGGGAGTGGATATCGATTGCGACGATGAAAATACGACAAGAGGCCCGTCTGGATATTACGAGTACATAACTCATACGAGTACAGTATGGCCTTTCCCTGCCAAGGGAGCGGTCTTAAGGACCCTCGCCCGCGGTGTCTGGTCTGCCCTACCACGGTCCGTCGTGCGGGCGACTTTTGTGTCTAGGGTTTCAATCCGTGTGCCGTCAAGTGACAAAGATGCTGTGCGCCGTGTTCCATGTGCTACGGACCTTTAGGTATGTGTAGGTGTAGGTGAGTTGGGAGCTGATGCTGGGGCTCGACACCCTCAACCGTTCAAGTCTTTGTTGGTAGCAGCTGTTGCCCAGCCTCGCCTCACCTCGCCTCGTATTCCATTCGCAACTCGTGCCTCCTTCTGTGCACTACAAAGACGATGCCCATCCACACCGCAATCACCGCAACGTTTAGTCACGGCACTGCGAGGCTGCTTACAGGGATTCGCGACCTGATCGCAATTAGCTCCCACCAAAGAAACCTGGCCATCCGCAGGCCAGCGACAGGGACCGGGGCAACTCTAGTCAGGGGTCTGGCCCCCCCAGCAACTTCTTTCCGTGACCTCCACCACTCGAGACACTATGCGCAACATCACCGTTTGCAGGTAGCCGTCCCTCCAAAACCTGCCACCTTATTCCCCCTTCTGTCTTCTTTTCTTCCTCGCCAATTCATCTTCCTGGATACCGCAGGCGAGGTGTCAAGCGTCGACCAGCGCAGGAATCATCCGGCGTCTCGGCGTGGGCTTGACAGCTACCAGAGTATATCCTGACTCTCGCCGCCGCTCCTGTCAGAAGACGAGTGCGATTGATTGCCCAGCTTTTGCTGGAACACGCTGTCGCCGGCTTTAGACGGCGAGGCTGTGTTTCAGCGACTCGATACCCGCGGCCTGAAGGAGCTGCGCAAAACATCTTGAAGGAGGTGGCAGAGACGGGAGGTGTCGTGTGCCAGCCTTTTGCTCGAGCTCTCTCATCTTTTATATCCCACAGACTGGCTGCCCGCCATCTTGTACTAATTGCCACCGACAGCGATTGCTTCTGTAGCACGTGTCGATGCCGGCATCTCCAATGTTTCCCTTCGCCCTCGAATAACACATTTTGAACCACTACACGGAAGTGCTGTATCGCCACCATGTCTGGACTCAGAGAGTCGGCTTTCTTGCCGACGATCAAGTGTTCATCATGTGGCCTGCAGGTCGAAATCTCCCTGATGGGAGAACACGTGTGTCCGTCTGTCGAGCGTAAGTCATTTCATACACGCCATGATGCAGTAGTTGCCTGTGCTAAGTTGGATATTTAGTATCGCCGCCTCCTGATAGCAACGACAAGTTTGTAGAGCCGCCCCCCAGATCAGCCGATCGATTGCCTGGCCCGGTCGATATAGGCGCAGCAAGTACGATTTCTCGACGACCAAGTCTCTCCGATGGCAGCTAAATGCTAACTTTCCCTAGATAAAATGTATATGGCCCCAGGACCGTTGACCCCGGTGAGCCAACCTGGAGGCTCGCGCAGCGCCTCACCGATGACGCCGTACAGACCATCTTTTGCCGACCAAGCAAGAGATTTTTTCTCATTTAGCGCTGCTAAAGTAGACGAGCCAGCTCAGATACCCGAAAAACAGTCCGACGCGAATGGCCATCGCAGCTCTAAAAGCATGGCCGCCTTGACGTCCACACCCGCCTCCACCAAACCTCTCGGGTTCATGGAGCGCATGAATACCATTGCTCCCGGCCCCTTTGATGCCAGCCAGCGGCCTTCCACTTCCCACGGAGCTTTTCCAGCAAAGAAGGAGTCGCTCTCCAGGTTTGGCTTACCTGTCTCAGAGGAGCCGGGTCGACTCAGTGAGAGACCCGGAACAAGCAGTTCCAGTTTGTCATCTGGAAGCAGCAACAACATACCATCAACTCCGAAGCAGCCCCAGAAGAATGGATACGAGGGATTCGGCCCACCCTCGGGGCGCTCGCTGGACCCCAATGGCATGGCACCGCCTATGAGGGCTGAAACTTTCCCAAGGCCGTCTCCTGGTGTAGGAGAAACCCCCCGTCGCCCATCTTACTCGAGCCCGCGGTCCCGATTGCCTTCCATGGGAGCCGAGGGAGAACGACGACCCTCTTTGGCTCCTGATACGTCGAGGCGCCCGCCGCCTCGCAAAAGTCTTATTCCCTCGCATTTGCCGACGGCCTCTCTCAACTTGGCCGAAGAGTTCGGCGTTAGCAACCCATATCATACGTCGTCAGACTCTGCCTCCTCAGGTTACTCTACTTTTAGCAACCAGAGCCAGAACACCGCGCAGACGAGCCCCCCGAGGTCTGAGGCGCGTAACAGCATACCGGACGCACTTAGGGTAAGGTCACAGGAAAAGCCGCGGCCTGCGGATCTTCGACTCGACCCGGCAGCCGAGATACCTCTTCCTGCTCGATCCCCGGTACCGCGTTCGCCGTATCTCATTCCAGAGGGAGAAGAAGAAGAGCGCGATGACCCGGCAATCCAGCCTGGTCTCGGCCAATCATTCAAACCCTACAGGGCATTTAGCCCAGCCGCGGCCTCGAATCCTACCCGACCGCCGCCGCCAGAGGCAGAAGTTGGACCCAAAAACGAAAGCTCTCCCAAACAGCCTTCCCCCAGACAATCTTCCCCTAAGCAGCCCTCTCCCAGGCAATCTTCTCCCAGACAAGAATCTCCAAAGCAACCTTCTCCCCGACAGGAATCTCCAAAGCAGCCCTCTCCTAGGCAATCTCCTCCGAGACAATCCCAGCCTGCACCGCCAGTATCCCCTCCAAGACAGTCCCCTCCAAGACAATCCCAGCCTACACCGCGTGAATCCCCCCGAAAGGTATCTAGAGACCTAAAGGCATCCAAGGATCTCAAACTTCCATCTCGTGGTGACTGCAAAGCCTGCGGAGAACCCATTACCGGAAAGAGTGTTTCGTCAGCCGATGGGCGACTGACAGGAAGATATCACAAGGCCTGCTTCGTGTGCGCTACGTGCTCGAACCCATTTACCTCGGCAGAATTCTACGTTTTGAATGACAAGCCATATTGCGAGCAGCACTACCACAAGCTCAACGGCAGTCTGTGTGGAACCTGTGGGCGCGGCATCGAGGGTCAATTCGTCGAGGACGAATCTCGTGTCAAGCACCACATTGACTGTTTCTGCTGCTTGGACTGTGGCCGACCACTTTCTGACGGCTACTTTGAGGTTGACGGTAGAGCCTACTGTGAACAAGATGCTTTGAGGAGGACCCAGCCGCCGCCACCTGCTCCATATCCCCAAGGACCCAGGAGAGGCGGCTACGGAGGCCCGGGCCCCCGACCATACGGCCCTCCACCTGGACGCATGGGTCCAGGAGGTCCGGGACCTCGACCAGGTTACGGTCCTGGACCTGGCTTGCCCAGAGGACCAGGCCCCTACGGTGGACCTCCACCCGGCCGCCTCGGACCCGGCATGGGACCTGGCATGAGACCTGGTATGATGGGACCTCCCGGTATGATGGGACCCGGTATGAGGGGACCTGGCCTAGGCCCGGGTCCACTACCCAAGATGAACAAGAGGATGACGAGACTGGGCATGATGTAAAATGCCTGCCGTCTCGATCTGCCTCATTGCATAATGTCTTAATATCACTATCGCCGCTGTTCACTCTGCAGTGCAGAGTTGTACGCGTGAGAAACCCTTCCCCGAGAATCTTGGAACCAATGCATAATAGTTTTGTTTTTGGTTTATATACCCTATTTTCTTTTCTTTCTTTGTTTCACCGGTATATATACCCACAGCCGGCTGGGCTTGTTTGGTGGATATCTCTTTTGGTTAATCCAGTCATGCTTACGAATGAATCCGATCCCACATGCGTTTAGTTCATGTTTATATATACTGTCCTCATCATAGATGGCGTTTTTTTTTTCTTTGGGATGTACTGACTGACAACTCTGATGAGTCGTTAATATGGTTGTTGGGTTCTCGAGAGAAAATTATGTGTCGTTTTTGTACTTGATTCGTTCCATCTTACTCCCCCCATCTTTATCTGATACTATACCGTCTTATTCGGTCATAATGTTAGTGTTTGTCTACTACAACTGTCTGGATCTGAGTCTTGTGAATGATGTTAAAAGGCGAGATCATGCTGCTGTTGAAGTCGATGTATGTGCATGTATCATGTTGATGAGATCGTGCGGCATCGCGGTGGCTTGCTGGATCGAGATAGCGCAAGCCTCGTCAGTCCATATGCAGCGAAGTCTTCTACCTTTTGCGGGTGAAGTCGTCGAAGCTTGTCGATAAGCGTACTTGCTTAAAACAGATGGATACAAATATAGATTCAAGACAATTTCCGGTGATATCATTGGAATGCAGTGTCTTCTCTGCATGATTCTGGCACGTGTTGCTCAGCTGGTGTTTTGGATATTGGTGAGACGTTCAAACAATGGATGTGCCGTAGCCTTGGGAATGCGACGGGTTTGACTCGTCGCAGCTGGCGCATAAAAGTTCGTTTAGTGTGCCTGTATGCATACTGTGCTATATATCCTCCTTTCTCCTACCTTATCCAATGGATATAAAAAAAAAGGGGGGGGGGGATGGTTGATGGATTAGAATAACTGTAATTTGCTGTGCATGAAGCCAGCCTGATTGCCATTGGAGCTGCCTTGTGTGGTTGGCTAGCAGCAATAGCGCCCTGTAAAATTGATCTGTGCTGTTTGCTGCTCGTCCGGTCCTGTCAGCGAAGTGCCGCTTTTAGTATCGCTTCGTCCTGGCGAAAGCAACGTGCGGAAAAAAAAACGGAAGAAAATGTCAACAGTTGGACATAAAAAATACAGTGTGGCACGTGGAGAATGAAAAATCCCCAGCTGATGTTTTATGCTTCTGAAATGGAGGAGAGGATGGAGAAAGGTGGCGGATTTTTTTTTTTGGTGTCATGATGCGGCCTGCGAGACTGTCTTTTGACGGGCTGTCTCTCTTATGCCTCCCGTGTTGACGGAAAAGTATAATTTTGGTGTACACGCGAGTACCCACGACGTCACGATTTTTCTTGAAAGATGAAGAGAACCAGCATGTATCGGTGAGAAATGCTCATCGGCATGTTCTATGCAGACTGACTTGTTCTTTTTCTTTTTTAAAACTGATCTTCAGGAGATGGCCCTCCCTTTGATACTTATGAGGAACCGCTGTGGACACGGAGCTGTGGGTGACGAAATTGCCCCTGGGCCGGAGGGAGCCACTTTGACAAGCCTTTGACCCACGGCAATGGAGCCGTTTGACAGAAAGCCTGCGTTTGAGAATCGGAGGAGACGTGCCGACGTCTTACGCAAACAGACGGATGGGATTGATGCTTGAGACTGAGATCGATGCTGGGTCGGCACCAATAGCCGGATGTTGAAGAGCTTAGAATATACGATCTATGGATTACCTGTACCTAAGATAGTTACCAAGTGTTATTGTCTCGATGCGCAAATCTCCTGAGCCTCAATGTCTGAGATAGTCGTGCAGCGATTCTCTGTACTGTACTAGACCAGCACCTACCCATCCAGCTCCATACGCGTAATCCTCAGAAATTCTTGCGCTGATCGACAGACAGCATGAATTTGTCTGCAACACCAGCTGTGGTACCCAAGGGCTGAATCAAGACTGAATACTGTGGCAAACACCAGCCCTCGTTGGCCAGCCCCCTAAGCCAACCCCGCTGTAATTTTGGAGACCCCCCGCTAGAATGTCGCTCATGCGGGCGGCCACTTGTGTAAAATTAATGGGCAGGATTTTGGTGTCAATTGCAGGTCGAGATTGAATCGAAGCGATTGAAGTTCTGGTTAGTGCCAACTGCGACAGTACAGCGCATTAGTTCCTGGTGTTACAGGCCACTCCCTCGCGCAATGCTTCCAAGGTTCCGCTATTTCCAGTAGCACGGCATTCATCTCGCCAGCTTGTGCTGATTATCCCCCGATTCTTTCCTTTGACTCGCCTGTGCCACCATCCAACCCTTTCCTCTCTTTTTCCAAGTTGCACGCGATAGCCTTCGTCCGCTCCCTCTACACGACAATTCCAGAGGCTGCGACGGATCAGACGTCTTCTTCTTCTTCATCATCCTTTTTTACCGCATTTTCCTAGCCCCTTAGTCCCTCTTTTCAAACCGCTGTCCCTTTACACCCCGCGACGGTGAGACTTCTACAGAGAACCTCTCATTCTCATTCCTACGATCGAGTAACCAAGCGCGCATCTTGTCCGATTTCTCCTACACACGGGATTTAATTGGTTATTGCCGGAAGAGACTCGGCAAGGCTAGCCCAACACAAGCTGCGTCATCCGTCGCAAACACTGGCAAACAACGGCCATTCCGTGCGATTTCGCAACATGCAAACTTGAGAGAGCTCTGGTAGCCCGCAATCAAGTTGTATATCTCGCAACGCTCAGCTGTTCCAGCTAGAATTAACGACTGTCTATCGCATCGCGTTGGAATTTTCTTTTCATCCGAAACCATTGCATCGAGGGGATTAACAAGATGTTGAGTCCCTCGCGCCGACCCAGGCTGAGGATCATCCTCCTCATCGCCCTCGCCTCCATTACGTCCTATTACCTGCTTTTCAGCGGCCCGAGCCCTCGTTTCAACATTGTGCCTTATCTTCCTGAAGACACCCAGGGCAATCAACCTACTACTCCTGCACCTGAGTCGCCTCAGTCCCCTCCGATACCTCCTAAAGCACCCGAAGTGCCTCCCAAGGCGCCTTCAGATACCAATAGTGACACTACACCTTCCAAAGACAAAGACGGTGGCCAAGACGACAAGAACAACGATGCGCCTACCAAAGACGAAGGTGGCGGCAACGATCAGCCCGCCAAGGATGAGGACGATGGCTCAATTCAAAACGGCAAGCCGTCTCTAGAAGAGAAGCCTCAGGACGACTCTAACAAGGAAGATGCCCCCAAGAATGACCCTCCCAAAGAAAACGAGAACCATGCTTCAGAGACCGACAAGGAACAAGAAAAGCCACTCAACATGGATATCGAGACCTATAACAAGGAGATAGAAATGCTAGATGCTTGGGACTTGACTATCGAAGAGTTGAGGGAATGGAAGGACAAAGGCGACAAGGAAAATTATGACGACGTGGCCCCAGGCTACGAAACTGACGGCAAGGGGAGAGATGCGGGCACCATCAGCAGACTCCAGCATGAAAAAGATATGAGGAAAATGTGGAGATATGCATACAGCACCACAGCCAAGTGAGTTATACCTGTCTTCATCTTTTCTAGAATGCGAAGTCGATGCTAATTGACATATAGCCTCGAATCTTCCGGCAAAATCTATGGTAATACTCTCTCGACTCTCGATTACAAGGAGAACCGCACGGATGCCATGCGACAAAAGCTTAGAGAAGACCCCCAAGCGGACGTTGGCTTCAGCGTCGATAAGCCCGTTCGCTTCAATCCGTACCCAAAGTACAACAGTGACGAGTGGAAAAAGCAACGACACGCCGCTCACGTTCCTTGCAAGGGTCCAACCGGAGAGCCTGTCGAAGACCTGCTAGTCTTCAAGGGTCGTCCTCACAATTTCCCTGAGCCCAACTTTGGAAGCTATTCTTTGTTCAACATGGATCCCAACTTGTGCTGGGAGAGAGATACGCGACTTGGCCCCTATGGTCTACTCCAACAAACAAAGAAGGTGGCTGATAAAGTCGAAGTTATCGACTGGGATAATGTCAATTGGGGCGATCTGCAAAAACGATGCTTGGAGGCAAACGCTGCGAGATTCGATTTGAACAGGGATAAGAAGAATCCGTACTTGGACGTTTACCCAGAGCTTGCTAAGCCCGAGGCTCCCAAAGACGAGGCTCCCAAAGACGCCGATGACAAAGCTGCCACTGCTCAAAAGGATAAGGAGTCACCAGTTCAACCTCCTAGGGAGGACGATAAGACGGTGAAGATCAAGGGGCGGTCGCCGTTTGACTCTTCTGGCGGAGAGGATGAGGCTAAGATTGTAAAAGAGAAACGATCCGTTATTCTGCTGCGATCCTACACGGGCAAGGTTTACTCCAAAAATGACAAGGAGACGATTCGCGCTATGATTAGCGAGCTTTCGCTCAAGTCTGGTGGTGAAATCGAAGTTGTCCTCCTCGTTCAAGTCAAGGATAACAAGCTCAATATTTTCGATGACCCCGAAGTATACCAAAGCGTTTTGCAGAAGCATATCCCTCCCGAGTTCCATGGTATCACCGTTTTGTGGAATGACAAGCAGGTCTGGGATATCTACACCAAACTGGATGAAAAGGCACGAACGGTTCACACGGCGCAATGGCTCTGTGTCCAGAAATTCAGCGCTGACCACCCCGAATTCGACTATATCTGGAACTGGGAGATGGATTTCCGGTTCACCGGCCACCATTACGATATGCTTGATAACATTGCGAAATTTGCCGCCAAGCAGCCGCGTCGAGGCTCCTGGGAACGGAGTGAGCGGTGGTACATCCCTGAATATCACGGCGACTACGATACGACCTTCCGCAAGGACGTCGAGGAGACTTATGCCGGCGATACTGTTTGGGGTGCCCCCAACCTGCCATTTATCAAGCCAGTTGGCCCCAAGCCTCCCGTTAAAACGCCCGAGGAAGATAACTATTCGTGGGGTGTCGGCGAAGAGGCAGACTTCATCGCCCTCGGCCCGATCTTCAACCCTGTCCACAGTAACTGGATTATTGCCGATAATGTCTGGGGTTATTCAGATAAAGAGCACAGGGCCCGTGATCTTCCGCGTCGCACCACCATCGTCACTCACTCCCGTCTGTCGAAGCGTCTTATAGACATCATGCACATTGAGAACCTGCGTGGAAACCACGTTGCCTCCGAGATGACACCCCAGACCTTGGCCCTGATCCACGGCTTCAAGGCTGTTTACGCCCCGCATCCCATCTTTACGGACCGAGATTGGAACGGTAAATTCCTCAACCAATGGTTCAATCCCGGCCCCAAGGGAGAATCTGGCGGATACGGAAGCCCTATGGGCTGGGGTAGAGAGCGACGATTCCAGGGCAACTCTTGGTACTATCGAGCAGAGCCGCCGAACCGGATGTACAACAACTGGATGGGCTGGGTTGACACTGGCATTGGAGGCGAGGAATGGGAGCAGGAACATGGGCGACCATGCCTGCCATCCATTTTGCTTCACCCTGTCAAGGATACAACGCCCACTAAGAAGGATCACAAGACTGGCTTTGAGCTCTTCTACGGTTAAGGAGTTATGAATCCGTGGCAGCCTCTCATTCTCACGGTTCCGCCACCTCTTTTTTCCACTTCTCTTCATCTTCTTCTTTCCCTATTACTGTCCTTTATTTTAGGATACCCATTTTTACGTTTTACATTTATTATTCAACGACGACGGCTATCACCGAGTCGACTCATCCACTAACTCGTGGACCCTTTGAACTGGAGGAGGGATGTACTATGATTGTTGACACGCGCAAATATTCATCACGGTACGAGGGAAATAGGCGAGATGCGTACAGCCCGGCGTTTTAGTTTATGATGGCACCGGATTTCGGGCTGGTTGTTTTTTTGTCCGCTTTGTTCTACCTATTTGCAGACAGTATGGCGAGAAAATTTGTTTTTTTGCCATATGTGTAAGGAACTCCAACGAACGGAGTTACATATTAGAAGATTGCATTGTCTCTTTCTGCATTGTTTCTGTATTGAAGGCATGAGACGCGATGAGAGAGAAGCAGTGTTGACGTCGCTGCTCGTACGTATAATGTTTTATAAGAATTCATTGCATCAAAAATGAAACAAAACTTCAAGTGCTCAAATGACAGAGTGACCCTTTACGTGTGAATTGACCATGTGCCTGACTTTTGTTGTCTTTCCCAAATATACTGATGTCAACTGTGAGATGCTCGGTTCTTGTGGGGTAAAGCCGGATTATTCGGTGCCCCACGGCCGTTACCGCTAGATGCATGTGCCATATCTCAAGAATTGAGTGACTGAACTCGCACGCCTTCTTTCCATCCTCTTACAAATATATCATGGCTACGTTTCACGTCAAGCGAAATCCATTATCTATCAATTAGGGAGGCATTTTCAGTAATGATCTGGCCTCTCGTAGCTCGTAGAGCTCCTGTTGCACCATCGGGGTGAGGCAAGCGGCAGTGGAAGGCGATGATCTTTTCGAATCAACCATGAATCCGTTTTCCAGTGTGAGCTTTTGTCTACCCTCAGATTGTGTAAGAAGCAGTACTGATTTGACAGACACCTACACCGCGGCGGTTTTTACTGCCTAGGCGGTCGACGCAGTCGTCGTCGCAAACGCCAGGTGCTCCTCCGCAGTTTCAATCCACTCCGCGCTTTGGCTCCTCTTCAGCTCCTAGGCCAACGCAAGGCAATGAGCTCGATATTGAGGAGTCTGAAGATGGAGAGGAAGAAGAGGTTATATCTGAGTCGAGTTTGTCAGGCGATGAGAGGGAGGCTACGGAGACGAGACAAGCTGCTTCACGCAACCGTGTGCTTGATATTGAGTCAGATGCTGGCATACCATCGCAGGAGGAGCCGTCGTCTGATGTGATGGATTCAAAACCAAAATCCCATCGAAGATTTCATATCGAGTCAGAAAGCCCAAGTGAGGGCTCACAAGGTACTATGGTGGGCAGAGAAGCGAAGCGTCGGAAGATGTCGATATCTCCGACGCCTTTGATCGGTTCTGACGATGCGCCTTACGAGGAAAGCGCCTTTGATACTGAAGACGGAGCATCGGTGATGAGTATGGATAGCGGGGAGGGGTCGCCCATTATCATGAGGAATTCCAAGGCTCTTCAGCAGCCTGTTTTCCAGCAAGCGCCGCGATTCAAGCCTCTCGACGCTGAAATTACATTCAATGGCCTCCCAGCGGCATTTTCACCCCAGCGGAGAGGGTCAAGATACGTCTCTGGAGGAATGGCGGCTCAGCTCCAAGGATGGCTTTCAGAAGTCAAGGGGTGGGATGAGAACAGCGGGAGGGTCGAATCAGTGATGAAGCTTCGCGTGGAACAGGTTAGGTCGGGGAGGCGAATGTATCTTGTAGAAGGCCGCGATCCTTTGACAGAGGCATCTAAGAGATGGATTCTGGCTGGCGAGGGAAAGCTGACTGGTCTGGGTAAGAGGGCGGAGGTGAAGATGGGGAGCGTGGTGCTGATTGAGCCGCCTGTGTGGGATGTTGAGTTGGAGGGGAGCATTTGGAATGTGGCCTGCGAATGGAGTGTAGAGATGACCTGAGCAATACCTTGTCTTATGAAACATACGAAACATATTTCATGTGATGGATTTCATGATCTCATGGTGTTGAGGATGTTGATGCATATAAGCCGAATTTGCACCAAGCGCGAGTGAGTGGCCAATTGAGGTTCTGCGGAATATCGCCATACCCTGCAGCTACGGAAACAGCAACGTCTATCTCAACATTGCCTCGCGGAAACGTCCTATTTTCAGCTGAATGGTTCCTTTTCTCATTATATTTCTGTCTGAGATGATATTATAGTAATCATCATTATGATACGACCCTTTTCCTGCCTAATCTCCGCCCCAAAGCTGAGAGTTTCCGTCGCTCAACAAAGATGTTTCTCATCTAAAATCACAACAAGGGCTTCAGACCCGCTCCGAATATTGTTTTGTGGCTCAGATGCATTTAGCTGCGAATCTTTACGCGCACTGCATCATGAGCATGAAAGGAACGCACAGCTTATCGAGTCTCTGGATGTCATGGTTTTGCCTCCGAGGCGAACTGGGCGAGGATTTAAAGACATTAGTGAGGGTAAGCATAGAGTTTCCCCCCGACGTTTCGAGATGGTATTAACGGTGAGACAGTACCGTGTAAATCTGTTGCAGAACATTTGGGATTAAGAATACATCAACGAGAGACGTTTAGAGGCTGGAAAACGCCGGAAGGAACTAACTTAATTGTCGTTGTTTCATTTGGATTGTTTGTTCCACCACGGATATTGAACTCGGCAAAATATGGTGGACTAAATGTACATCCATCATTATTACCGCAGTACGCCTTACCGCTAAAGCCTTATCCCCTGATATCGGCCTGAGTTAACTGAATGACGCAGTCTACGTGGTCCAGCTCCAATTCATCATGCCATGATGCGTGGCGATAAGTACACTGGTGTATCACTTCAAACGTTGGACCCCAAAGTCTTTGACCACGGCACCGTTCTCACCCAAACACCATCTCCTGGCTTAGCGATACCAGACAGTGCTACGCTCCAGAATCTTACAGAAGCCCTTGCCAAGGTAGGTGCAGAGATGCTCGTCCAGGGACTACGAGATGGGCTGCATGCGCCTCCATATACGGACGCAGGGTGGATGGCCGAGCAACTCAAAGACGAGAAACTGGTTCACGCACCGAAAGTGGGCAAAGGAGAATCTCAGATCAGTTGGCCTGACTGGACTCCATCCCATTTTGAGCGTTTCGTCAACATCTTCAGTACGGTGTGGACACAGGCAAGAAATAATAAAGGTAAATTTAAGCGAGTACTTTTTTTGGACGTGGAGAGTGTCCCTGAGCATGAAGTGACGGGAAGGGATGAGGAAGTAGTGTTTCGGGTTGAATCAGGAGATGAAGGAAAGGATATACAGAGAGCTGTCAGAATCGATGATGAACGTGATGCAGTTTACGTACAGACGGCACATGGGGGCTGGGTGCGTGTGAAGAGTGTCAAGGTTGATGGGAAGACAACGCAGACGGCGAGGATTGGGATGAGGGAATTCCTGAAGAAAATGAAATGATTATATGACATGCTACAATACTAGAATTTCCCCCATGGTGATAACCGAATGGACATGGTACAAGTACTCAATAGTAGGACCAGACAAGGGTTGGAACGTCGATACTATCTGTCAAGACATCTAGGATTCGGCATGCAAAGTCACAGTCTCGATACGAGAACACCCGCCATCGGCATTCAACTTCAGAAAAATCTAATCTCCTATTTAAAAGGCCGAAGCCAGCAAACAGTAAACATACGAGACCTCATGCAAGATGAAACCTTAGACTGGACTCATGCTGCCCTGGCAGTTATTTACCATGACTTGGTACATGGAGCTTTCAGGAGAACTCGCAGCTACAGCTCGTATTTCCAAATGATGCGGCCAAAAAAACAAGATGGAAGAGATGAGGAAAGCAAACGACTACGGTGTTATAGAGACCTCGCAGCCAACACGAAGAGCAAGCCTGCCACGTATGCAAGGCAGGGATATAGGCGAATGGGCTGCATAGAAAGCTACAAGGTTGAGCAACCCAGAAGCGAATCAGAAGCTTCTATGGGGGACATTTGATGATTACATACTCGTACTAATCGGCAGTAGATTGCCTGAAGGGAAGGGGAGGGCAGAAAGGGAACATGACATTGAAGTTTGGGAGCTTCCCCTGAAAGGAGCAGTCGAGGATACCCGACTTCCAATGCAGAGTGGAGCTATGGGGGAGTTGTCCGAAAGTCAGAAAATTCAATTCAAATAGATCAAATCCAAAAGCGGGTTTCCATCCATTGCCCCCCCACTGTTCATTTGGTGGTGATTCCTTCGTCTGGTTTTTTTCACGATTAGGCTTTTTGGGGGAGTTGCCGAGATGTTGGCGTATGCAGGCTGAAATGGACCCGTGATTCTCTTCAGTATCTGCACAGCTAGTTTCTTCATGGTGCTCAATAGTGTTGGTGAGGCTTTCAACCGCTAAAACTCGGCTAGGGCAGGTCCCCTGGCTTGCTGCCGGGCTATCCAATCACAGCGGCCACGGGTGATAGGGGACAGCTGGACGGGCTGGTTTAGCGCCCTGAAGCTTCCCTGATCCGGCGCCTCTACCGTCGGACGTGCTGGTGCTAGTGCCAACACGTACTCGTAGATAGAGGTCGGAGCTCCGGGTTGCTGTTCAGTTGGGTCTGGTTTGTTTTGTTGACAACATGCCCTCGAAAGGAAATTAACGTCGGCATCAAGCAATACGACTATACAGTACCACTCTGCAGATGCAGATGCAACTGGAATGCCATGATGGCGCGGTGCATTCTCTCTTCAGGCGTTTTCGTCTTCGAGTCTTTTCTTTCATGATCTCGCTTCGAAACTGGGGCGTTTCTGGTGCCTGAGATGCATCGATGCGCCAAGATTGACGCGAGGCCAGTCTCTCCAGTCTCTCTTTCTCGTCCTCTCCCTCTCCAGACAGACGAAGCTCGACCGTTAAGCACGGGCTTTCCTTTATATGATAAGCCTGCGACAAGAATCGGAATCGCCACGCAATCTGCAACCTGCATATCTTTAGATTTTATGCCGCCCATCCAACCATCCTGCGTGGCGCAGCGTTTCGGCGGTGTCCCATGTGGGACTTTCCGCATGCTATTGAAGGAAGACGCGGCACAGAAAGTCCAATAGATCCAACACGACTCGGGCTCGCTAAAGCGTTTACAACTGTCGACATCCAAAGTCGGATAGACCGGGACGGTAGAGATACATACACACGATACGTGCACCATCTCTGCGCACTGGTACTCGTACCCTCAAGCAAGGAGCTGGATGTCTGTGCAGATATACGAAGCGCATGCTCCCTATCTAGGACGCTTTTGTCGTGCGCCCTTATGCCGGGGATACTCCGTCGAAATTGAGGGTGAATATGGAGAATCGAGTCCATATCAGTATGCTGACGCCCTGGATTGAAACCCGCGGCAAGGCGGAGCGAGTTTGCCGCCTGGCATTGGACGAGCAACGGGCTTTTCAAACGTTTCTGCAGCCCGTTATACGAGTATGGACACCCCGCCATACTCCGTTCTCGTACAGTATGGATTCTAAGGCGGCAACCAATCCAGGTACTGGAACTCGGACTTTTCTTGGCCGACAAGGGTGGTGAAGAAGCCTTCAAGGAAGTCGACAGGTCCAGCATAAATGTTTCGCCCCTGGAACCATGCAGTTCCTGCATTAGCGGCCCCGTTGTCAAGAGGGGATGGGGTGATTCGCCGTCGGCGCGCTTCACATGAATTTCTGCAGCAGGAGAGCAGTTCATGCCTGGGCGCTGCCATACCATGCCATGCCGGGATACCATGGAACTGGATCTCCTGAGAGCGAGCCTCGTCGTTCTGTGCTTGACATTTTCACGAGCTCCATTTGATTCCAGCTGAATACCGGGTCCAATGTCCAACACCATGCTGTAAAGAACTGCAATCTCGCCATGCTATTTCTGTCTGTTGATGTTTGAGAGCCAAGGCAGTAGGGCTCGGGTCCCGTTACCAAATTGGTTCGGCTCACTCTCCCGGATCAGCTTCGTGATTCGCCCTCCCCATGTTTCCATCCAACTGATTGGCCTGGGTGTTGCTGCTATCCCACACACCCAAGATGGGCCCATTTCAGCATAGTCCCCTGATCTCACTGGGTATTCGCCCACATATGCTCGATACGGCTTTCACCCCCTGGCGTTATGGGATCTCAAGGTGGACAGCAAGGGCTTTGCCAAGTCTAGGAGGCCCTTAGCCGTATGGCATTACTCACATGCCGTATTGTCGTTGGCCTTGGATGCATGCGGTGTTGCCGCCTATGAGAAAGCTTCTCGTAATGGGCCCAGGGGTCGAAGACGTTTCCATCTAAAAGAAGGTCGACTGCCGCCAGAAGTGTCTCATCACACACTCCTTCGTTGTCAATCCCTTACACGTCAATCAACGACAACTTTGAGCATCAACGCTCGTCCTCTGACGTATCGTACGTCTACAACACATTCGTTCCTGGTCGAACACATCAAGAAATCTAGTCATTCTTTCAGACGATATTCGAATTTCAGCCGATCCTTAAATCATCGAGACAACTATTCGCAAAATGCCTTCTCTTAACGCCCTTAGCACGGCGCTTCTTGCCTGTGCGGGTAGTGCTGTTGCTACTCAGTTTACTTTGGCCGATACCTACGACCACACCAACTTCTTCAGCAAATTCACCTTCAACAATGTACGACACTCTCTGTTCTATATCCGTCATCACCCGCCGGTTGCTTGAAATGTCTTACTAACTCTGATACTATAGGCCGCCGATACCAACTCTGGTTTCGTAGTCTACCAGGACCAGGCCAACGCTCAGGCACAGGGACTCGCCAAGATCACCAGCAACAACGAGGTCTACCTCGGAGTTGACACCAAGACCGTCCTCAAGGGCGCCGGATTCCCTGGCCGTAACTCCATTAGACTCGAGTCCAAGGCTTCCTACAAGCATGGTCTCATTGTCGCCCGATTCTCCCACCTGCCTACCAATAAGTGCGGTAGCTGGCCCTCTTTCTGGACTCTTGGTGACAGCTGGCCCAACGATGGAGAGATCGATGTGTACGAGGGCTGGAACAACATTGTCCAGAACCAGCCTGCCTTCCACGTCGGCGACACCAAGACTTTCGGCCAGTGTATTCTCGAGAACGCCGGCCAGACCGCTTCCGTCGCTACTCCCAACTGTGACAACACTTTCCAGAGCCCTCCCAGCCAGTACCTCAACCAGGGATGCACTGCCAACGACAACAAGGGCCCCTGGGCCTCCAGCTCCGGCGGTACCTGTAAGTACACAACTTCCCTTTGCGCAATGGGTAGTCGAAATCTAACTCTGTATAGACGCCATTGAGTGGACCAGCGACTACATCAAGCTGTACAACTGGCACCGCGGTGCCGAGCCTGCTAACCTGGCCTCGTCCAACCCCGACACTGCTACTTGGGGAACTCCCGCTGTCAACCTCCAGGGCTCCAACTGCAACATCGACAAACACTTCAACAGCCAGCGTCTCATTCTCGACATTGACTTCTGCGGCAACCCCGTTGGCACCCCTGCTTTCTGGCAGCAGAGCTGCGCCGCCGTCACCAAGCAGGCCACTTGCGCTGACTATGTCGCCAAGTTCCCTGGTGACTTTGCCCAGACCTACTTCCAGATCCAGGACATCCGCTACTTCAGCCAGAGCACCAGCAAGCCCACCACCAGCAAGGCTGTTACTTCAAGCAAGCCTGCTACCTCCAAGCCCGCTACTTCTAGCAAGGCTGTCACCTCTAGCAAGGCTGCTACCTCCAGCAAGGCCGCTACCTCCAAGGCTGCTTCCTCTGCCGCTGCTTCTTCCGCTGCCGCCTCTTCCGCTCACAGCAGTGTTGTCGTCCCGACTTCCGTGATTGCCAGCCTGCCTCCTGTTATCACTCCCAGCCTCCCCCCTGTTGTCACTACCAGCAGGTGGTCCAACTCTTCTGCTGCCGTTACTACTCCCGCTCAGCTCACCACCTCGACCGTTTACACCACTCGCGTTCACACCATCTCTCAGTGCGGTCCCGAAGTCACCAACTGCCCATTCCGCCCCACGGTCACCACTGAGACCGTTGCTCTGTACACGACCGTCTGCCCCGTCGAGGAGGCCGAGTCCAGCTCTTCTGCTGCCGCCGCTGCTACCACTGCTCCTCCTAACGGCAGCGGTCCTGAGACTCTCACCACTGCCATCACCATCGTCCACACCATCACCAGCTGTGCTCCCGATGTGACCAACTGCCCTGCTCGTCACTCTACTCAGGTCATTCCCATTCCTCCTGCTCAGCCTACCGGTGCTGCTCCTCCCTCGAACGGTGCTGGCAGCGGCCCTGAGACTCTCACCACTGCCATCACTATTGTGCACACCATCACCAGCTGTGCTCCTGATGTGACCAACTGCCCTGCCCGCCACTCTACTCAGGTCATCCCCATCCCTGCTCAGCCAACCGGTGTTGCGCCACCTGTTGCCCCCGTTGCCCCTGCTCCTCCCGTCTCTATCGTCCCCGTCATGCCCATTGCTCCGGCTCCCAGCAATGCTGCCGGCGGTGTCGTTCCTAGCTACCCCGTTGCTCCGGCTCCCAGCGCCCCCGTGGCCCCTGTTGCTCCCCCTCCCGTCGCTCCCGTCGTCCCAGTTGCTCCCGTCGCCCCCAGCGCTCCCGCCGGCGGCAACGGCACCTGGACCACCGTGGCCTCTGGCCCTACCGCCCAGCCTCCTGCTCCTTCCAGCGGCCTTGGCTGCTCAGGCGCTGACTGTCTCCCCCCTCTGGGCAGCGGTGCTGTACGCACCGGCATGAGCACTCTTGCTCTTGTTGGTGCTATGGCTGTTATGCTGTTGTAAAGGGAATCTAACTGATTCTAAGGGGCAAGGAGAGGAGAGGAAATAAGAGAAGAGAGAGAGGAAACGAGAAGAGGAGGAATATGTGGAGAGATGGAGAGGATATGTAATTAAAGATGAAAGTCAGTTTAATCGAGGCGTTATGTTGGATATTCATGTGCCACCATATTGAATATGGGAGGACGTATATACACTTATAGAGTTGGATCCCAAAGGGCTAGTCATACTGGTAGTCACATTCTACAAATTTCCTTTATCTTTTTTTCTTTTCAAAACACAATAGGCATATAGCCTTTTAGATCCTTTATTCATCGTACTATCTCATCGGTTGCCTGTGTGAACTCCATCCGCAGCAAAACTCCTTTACCTTTTTTCTCAAAACAAAGTAGGCATATGGCCTTTAGATCCTTTATTCATCGTCCTGTGTAAAAGGTCATCTATGTGAGCTCCATGCGCAGCAAAACTAGGTAGCCTTTTGCCAGACAATGCTCATTGCAACTCCAGGGGGAGCGACTCTACCTTCATATCCACCTTGGTCGTATCATCCGGGGAATAGAACGCAGTCAACATCCTGACTTCATTGACACTTCGATCACCGCACACAGCCTTGGCAAGCTCCACGAGTTTAGGCCAGTGGCCTTCAGGAACTTCCGACTCCTTGAGGCGGTCGCTGAGAACATAATCCGCGCGGATCCAGTACTGGACCAGGCCTGGGGCTCCGTCGCGAGCTTCATGGACTTGGATGCGGCAGTACTGCGTGATCTTGAGGTTCTTGAGCTGGTGGGAGTTTTGGGGGAGGGTGTCCGAGTCAGCACGGGGTCTGGACTGAGGGAGTTGGGGGAGGGCTTGGAGGGGGGCGGCGGAAGCAGTTCGGAGGGGGTGGTTGGGGATGACTTTGAAGGGCTTTTGGGGGAGGGGTTTGGCTGAGGGGGGTTTTGAGGATGACATTTTTGGTGGATGGGGGTGGATGGGGATGGGGATGTGGTTTTGGTTTTGGTTTTGGTTCTGGTTTTTGTTTTGGTTTTGGGGTTTGGTGTTGGTGAAGGAGTTGTGATTGTGATTTTGATTGTGGTTATGGTTGTGAAGAGATAGGAGAGGATATGAAGGGAGCATCGTGACGTTTAAATAGAAAACATAATGGCCTGGAGAAGGTAAATATTTGGTATGGACTGAACTATCACGACGTTGTATAAGATGCGTATCCTGTGAATAGAGAAGCAGAACAGTGGAACATACCTAGGTAAATCCCTGAACTAGAACATGATCAAAGGATTTCGAGCTAATTCACTCAGCACAAGTATAAACACCAAAAAAGAAAGCAATGGACAGTTCAAAGGGTATCAAATATGTTTATTCATTCTGTCGACGATCTGGAGTTTAACAAAGGCGCGTGCGAATCCATTCAGCCCACTTGCACAGATCCTCGAGCCGTTCAAGCACCTTTCCGAGATCCTGTCTAGTGAGCACCTTGCCCTTTCCAGTTGACGCCTGCTGTTCAATTATGTTCTCATTGACAATTTCCACCACGCCGCCTTCTAGAATACGAAGCGTAATGTCAATGGTAGAGTCCTTAACGGGGAAGACGACCTGAAGATATGGTGATGGATGAACCCATAATATGACATCGATGTTCATATCTTGGCCAGTTCCCTTCTCGCCGTTGATGGTTTTTGGCTTTGCTTCTTGCTTCACCTTTTGTTCTTCTTCTATATCCATTTGTCCTTCATCATCGCTTGACGCCATGAACGCTGCCAGTTCATCCTTGACTGTCTTGGTAGTAGCAGGAGCCGATGCCGCTTTGACAGGCTTGGGCGAGCTCTCCTTTGTTTCCGACCCGAAGCTATTGTTCAGCAATATGGAAAGGAAAGCGAATTGGCGAAGGAGAGGAAGCATGTCAATGAGTTGGCGGGGATGTGAAAAGGACATTTCTGTGACTTCCTGAGAATAGATTGGCTTGTAGATGAAGAGTGTGTTATGGTGACTTCTGGTGAACGACTTGCCCTGCCGATCAAAAACACGAACATCGCGAAGGCGTGTAATCGTCCTAGATTCACTGGGGTCTTGCTTGTTCCCTGCTGATATGGGGAAGAACAAATCGTCGAATGTTGGTGGAGGAAGAGGGCGCTGACCAAAGTCGGCCGAAGGACTTGGATTGGGGGGTGTGGCGTTCACATAAGAGTAGAGTCTGATGCAGTCAGTCTGCGGGAGGATGACAGGCGGATCAAACGTAACCGTAAACGTGACTTGAGGTAGCGTAGGGAGATGCATCGACAGTTCATCCATTCCGGAATTCTTATTCTCATCTGATGAAGGGAGTGAGATGTTCTCTGGTTCTTGCCAATCAAGGATGGGGAGGTTGTGAGGCTGTAGTGCTTGATTTTGTTGCTCGTTCTCCGGCTTTACCACATCTTTGGAAATCCAGTCCTCGGATACTCTGACTGGTGACAGGCCGAGTGATTCAATAGGCGCGCAATCAAGTAGAAGCGACCAAACCTTTTCGTTCTCAGAAAAGGCCAACACCTTGTCGTCTGAAGAGGGTACAAATCGCAACTCTTTCCAGTACTGCAGAGCGAGGCCGACTTTATTTCGTGCATGCATAACGGGATAGCCGTGCCTGGTACACAGGGCAGCTAGAGACAGGTACTGATCTGACTTGCCTGCCATCTCCGTCTCTTTCCGCAAGTTCGCAATGTCCCAGTGATGCAATCTTTCTAAGCTGGTAAAGATGCCTGCCAAAGCCTCGTAGCAGTCGAGGCCGGGGATGATGCTGAGCTTGTCCAGATTGGCAATGTGGCCAAAGTTGTACGCGAATTTATCCAGAGTCTTTGTCAAGGGACTCTGGTTTGGACCAAGCTTCAAGTCTGCCAACAGGATTTGACTGGCCGCCTCCATATGCGTGGAAACTGAGGCTGCCGAGCCATGGTAGGCTAACGATACATTCTGCACAATGTTGTTGTCTAGCACTATGTCGACCGCAATGGCAGAACCTGCAATTGCCAGTGTTTTCGTCTTGCGTCCGTCCGCGGCGGTATGTTCCTCGGATAGAAGCTCGAGGCCAAGGCGCTGAGCAAGCCGTTCCAGGCCTGCTTCGCTGACGAACCCTTTCTTTTGCTGCGATGGTGTGTCAGCTTAGAGGGTTTCATGTGCATGAAGCAAGGGCACACAAACATTTAAGAGCTTAAGGATATTATCCAATCTCTTAAGTTTATCGTCTTCAGTAGCAAACGCGACTCCCAGCGTGTCCAGCCCGCCGACGCCGACATTATCAAGGCCAATATCAAAACTGCCGCCAATGCCAAGTGCCCCCATGGCGGCGGCGGTTGAGGGACTGTCAAAGTTCAACGCGCCCATGCCCGATTGACCCATCAACGTAGATGTCGCTGGTGACTTCTTGACCTGTTGCGGCGACGATCGCTGTCCACGAGGCGAAAATGCAGCCTGGGCGGGATTGGAGAAGGGCGTCGAGATCGGCGGCGTTGCACCGGCAATTTGTGATGGCGTCGGGCCTTGATGCGACGGTGTACGGCCCTGCTGCGATGGCGCATGCCTCATGGGCGTTGGAGTTGCCATGATGTATCAAGATGCTCGATTCGCGTGGGATGATGTCGTGGGAATCGGGATCGGAGAGAGCAGAAGATGGTCGTCGAGGCGATGGATGAGAGTGGAAAAGGCGAGAGCGCCAGCTGATTGTCCGTCAGGGTGCTGAAGGCATCGGTTAAGAACCCATCAAAGGGCACAAAAGAGGGCTATAGCTGGTAGCTAAGCAAATGACACAAGTCTTAGAGCAAAATTGTATGAATACGAAGCTGTGATGTCCAGATCCTGGAGGTTGACGGAGCTGACCTGATGGAGCTTCTGCTCTGTTTCGCCAGCCTTGTGGCGTGCCGACAGCTAGCGGCGCAGCCCACTAAAGAAGGTACTCCGTTTAGTGCGCTATTCCAGTGCATGTGCAAGTACCAGCGATCGGGCTAGCCTTTTACAACCGACGAGGCTGCATCTCCAATGTTCAATTCTCTTTTCTTCCCTGTCGTCGGCTTTTTTGGAAGCTTCCATATCGCATTCTCATGGCGACTGTTGGGAATGCGGCCCGGCAGATACGAGATCGGGCTCTTCGAGAGAGATCGATTCGCGTGCTCGTATCGCCAACGCCAATCTCCTTCGCCGAGCGTCGCTCAGTTCTGCAGGTGCTGGAGCAATATGGCCCTGTCGAGTTCTTCAAGATGACTCCCGTAGGTCCCAATCCATTGAATAGCGTATATATGTGGTACGACAAATGAGAAAAACTATCTAACCACACAATCGATTGGGTGCTTTAAAGGGCTACTACGCCAACTTTGTGTCTATAACGAGAGAGCCCTCGACCGCCGAAAGATTGGTAGCCAGCAGCCCCCTAACATACAAGATCACGGAGCCTGTCCGCAGCGCGGTGGAAGACATTTACGTTGCAGATCTAAACGAACCAGAGAGCTTTAGCACCATGCAGCCGACAATAACTGGGCAACAGACGAGCGGCGCGAACTCATGGTCTGACGGCGCGGGACAGGGACAAGATCAGGGACGAGAAGCGGAACTAAAGCAAGGGGAGCGAGAGTTCAAACTGGAAATCTTCCCTGCGCCCGAGTACAATCATAGATTTGCCATGGCCGGTTCACCGCTGCACGGCATCTGGAACGATGGCTACGAACAGGACCAATCCTTCATTGCGACGACGCTAAGGCAATCGCTGCCCAAGAGCATCGCTAGCGAGGGGCTTGTGCACTGGATGGTGAGCGGCATGAAGACGCGAGGAGGGCGGCGGATGAAGAGGCTGCAGATCAAGGAATGGCTTCCCAGCTACATGAAGAAGGGCTCGACTGAGTAAGAGTAAGCCAGCGACACCATGCCGCGCTATTACTAGATGCGCGGAAAGCTGCGACAGGTGCTACGACAATAAGGAGGACGATGCTGGCCCTCGTCCCGCAATGAATGCGACATGACTGAGACCAGACGGCCTGAATTTTACCGGCGACAATGGATGCAAGGCGGTATTGCAAATTGCAAGAGGCTGGTGGTCGCACAAGATGTCACTGCATTCAAGAAGTCGTTGTCTCAAAGGTGACGCCAATTAATTTCCAAAGCCAAGGCAGGGAAACAAACAAACACCAACCAAGCGCGATTGGGCAATTGAGGGTTCCCAAAAATGGAACAAAAGCGCTGGAAAACCAACGTTGAAGACAGTTTTGAGGGATGAACCATAACCTAATTCAGAAGTTGATGATGATGGATCTGCGCACGCTTTGCAACTTTCCTTGTTCTGGCTCCAACCCGGCACAACAATACAAGCGCGGCTGGTGCTACAGCTACTTCATCATCATGTGCGCATAAACATGTGTAATCTAGAACGTACGAGCCGCTTCCCATCGCCGATGATGTGGCCTTGGTGGCCATGCATGGGGGGGCTAATGGACTGGGATGTGCGAGGTCAAGACGAAAAATTTCACCTTACGTCACCCAAACGGCCATCCAACACTGCTAGGCACAGCCCATCACGCCGTCGCGAGAGGTCAGGGCAGTGGCGCATCGTCTCCAGATGGCTGTTTGGCCCGTCTTGTTGTGTCTCACCTCATTCGTCACACGATAGGGATAGGGAGAGCGATGCCGGACGAGGGGATTCACACGTCTGGGCGCAGAGAGCAGTGAGCAAAAGACAAAGGAGAGCCGAAAGTGTGTCCCTGCTTGCTTGATTCCTGTTCATCCTGGGCCTGGGCTGCGAAGACACTTGGACAGCGACCACAAGCAGGGGATTCTACGCGTAGACCGCCACACCTGGCCCCTGTCCTACGCTCGAATCGGGCTTGGCCTTGGGAATCAAGACCCATATTGTGGCTCCAGGCAGGGCAGCGATCTGGTAGCGCAGCCACTCTCGCTACGTCACCCGCAGCTCTTGTGAACTGCAAGGCTCAGCCGTGATCCGAGTGGGCTAGCAGGTGGGAAATACTTGGACAGGCCGGGACATGATGTCTGGAAAATTTCCTCGAGACAAGAATTGTATGTGTATGCTCTACCGTGGTGCCATGGTTGGTCTGAGACACTTTGCCGGGCGGAGCAGCGCCGTGTCGGAAAGGAGCGCCTTCACTCAAGGATCGCGATTCCATCTATGGGGAACATGTAGGGGCTTCGGTGTTGTGCGAGTGGTTTCCGGAGTACCTGCGCAGGATCAAATACGTGTATAGACATTGCCATTGCGTGTTCTGTACTGTACGAATACATACAGAGCGAGCACAAAGGCCAGAACAAAGAGAGTTGTATGACTGGTACACGCTAGCAAGGGGATTCGATTCGCGTTGCTTCTCATTGAACAAGAGCCGGCACCAACATGTGCTAGACGGGGGTGGATCCGTCTAAGCATCGTATCTAGACAAGGCCAAGCCATGTCCATCGCGTGGACAAAGACCAAAAGCCGGCAGAAGCACGCTTGGCAGCTCTGTCAAGTCTAATTCGTTCGTCTTCATGACGTCGCCGTTCTGTGGCACCCAACTGCTGTCGGCGGCCGCTCACCCTCGTGAGACAACAGGAGCCATGCGTTGGCTTATATGCTGACACTCTCCCTCCCTTTTCCCCCTTGCTTTGATCATTACTATTTGTTTCCATCCAATACCTCTCTCTTTTTCTTTCGTCTTTGTTCAACTCGTCTTTGTTCAACCCGACTCGCCCCCCGTCGTCGTAACTTATAATACCCAACCACTGCCTAGTGCCTCTCAACATCTAAGCATATCAACAAGTGCAGTCTTTCATCATGGGTGTCGGCACATTCTTTCACTACTTCGGCACAGTGCTGCTGCTTGCTGCCACGGCTCTCCTTATTGTCGTGTCGGTCACCGCGCCTGTGGTCAACGACCTCTCTATCCTGAAGGTCGACGTCAGTGGTAGCAGCACTATAGACAGAATAACATTTGGCACATTTGGATACTGCATCATCAGAGAGTATGTGCCCCTCCCTATTACCATCGCTTTGAACTACCTTACAAGAATATGGAACTAACATTTAATTTTAGCGGACCTGATGATTGCACCAAGGCTCACGTTGGCTACGATGCCACCGCCGCTCTCGCAGGAGTCCAAGGCCTTACCTTCTCCAAGGGCGACCGCGATTCCGCCAGGGTTCTCACCCGAGTTCTGATTCTGCACCCCATTGCTGCTGGCCTTACCTTCTTGGCCTTCTTGCTCTGCCTCGGCACCAGCTTCCTCGGCTCCTTTGTCGCCTCTCTCTTCTCCTTCCTGGCCTTTGTCGTCACAGTCGTCGCCATGGCCTGTGACTTTGCCGGCTTCGAGATCATCAAGCACGCCGTCAACACCAGAGGCCCCAACAACCTCCATGCTCGCTGGGGTCCTACCGTCTGGTGCATTCTTGCCGCCGCCGCCTTGAATCTTATCGCGACTGTCTTGGTCTTTATTACTTGCTGTGCTGGCCGTAGAAAGAAGAGCCACACCCACCGCGGCAAGGCTGACTACTAAGAAGGAACGCCGTTCCCCTCTCTAAACAACAACAACAACAACAACAAAAGAAACGAAAACCCCTGCTTAGGGTCTATTCAGCAATCCTTATGGTAGCGATTTCATACTTGTTATAAAGAAGAAAGAACACAAAGAGAAAAGAATGAAGATATGAATGTGGATGGGGAAGAACATACAGTAATGAAGTGTTTTTGGTACTTCTTTTTGCGCGCGAAAGGGGGAGGATTTTGATCATGATACCACGACAGGGGCACGTTATTGTGGGGGTTTGGTTGTGCTGGGACCTGAATGATTGTCTATTTTATATATACCTAGTGCTTAATATTCTAACGTCCAATCCTTTTTACGATGAATTTAAATCTTGATGAATTAAGTCTGCAACACATTTATATATTAATGCAACATTTGTCTAATCTCATTGTGCATCATCCTTCGTTCGTGCCCTAGTATGAGTTTATATAAGATGAAGCTACGCTTCAATCTTCACAGTCCCCAAGAGATGAGAGATCTCCTGGTGGTGTCGAGCCTGGAGCTGCCCTTTGAGTTTCCAAATTCACGAAGGCACCGTCGTATGACATATCAACTTGCTCAAGAGAAATGAATTCTCAGGAGAAATGAAAGGCGATTGCGGGTTTCCCAAGGGGCTCATGTTCGAGAATGAGTCTGGGCGCTCAAAAGGCAGCCCAGAATACGGCAGCTAAAAGGAGATGTTGCTGGTATTGACGATATCGCTCTTGGAAAGGGCCTTAGGGTTTGAGAATAAGAAGAGCAAGAGGAAGAATAGAGAGAACGCGATAAAGAGGGAGTCCTGTGTCTAGGGGGGGTGAGAAATTAGAGATAGTTTATGTAATTACTACTTTATAGCTGGAAGTTGTATTTTATATATATATTATAGCTGATATCTACTTTCGGCCAAATTGAGATACCCAATTCCCAACTGATTTCACCAATCGATTCTTTGATGCTGGTTTGCTAGAGGAGCTAGGAGTTGGCTCTTGGGGCGCCTTTCTAGTTAGTGTCCCGTTTCGAGGGATGTTGTAGGAGTTTTGCGCTTGGTTCTGGCTCTGCGAGCTTGGGATGGTTCCAGGAGAGCTGCCAGGAGGTGGATGCGACGGATACTGGTGCAAGTACCGCGGGTTCTGGTGGCCGCTGACGACGATTTCCTCTATGTCGGGCTTTGAGCTGTCTTTCGCGACGTTGGGACGGCGGTCAGATGTGGCCGTCACTGGGCTCGTCTGTGGCGTGGATTTGGGGCTCAAGGGAGCAGATTGCCGTGCTTCATCAATTAAAGCAGGAGAGGAAGTTCTGGAGCGAGAAAACAAGTCACAGCTTCTGGGGGATAACGTATCCGGGATGGCCTCATTAGCGGAGTGTATCTGTGAAGGAACCACCTGGAGCGCGTGTACGTTGGGAACTGGGAAGGTAACGCCGTGGGCATCTGAGTCCGGCAACAGAGAGGAATCCACTCCGGCCATAGAACCAGTAGGTTGAGCAAGTTGAGGTCCACTATGGACAACCTGTGCAAGTCCTGGTTCTTTAGGTGAGTTAGAACCAGATGAAAAAGGATATTCCTCGGCTTCTTCTGAGGCTTCGGCTAGTCGAATAGCCAAATCGATACGCTCAGATTCTCTCTCAATTACATGTTGGTTGTGCTCCATTGTCTGCGGGCCTATCTGGGATTTCTGAGCCATCACAAGAGGAGGAGGACTCGCTTGGGTCACTTGGGGGGTTGTATGAGGAGGGATGTCCACAGCTAGAGGACGGGGAGAAGCGCTCTTCTGTCTCGGCGTGATGTCCCTGAGTCGTAAATTACGCTCGATTGTGGTCTGTGGTAGAGGCTTGCAGTGGGCACAAGAGTGAGAGAAACTCTCTCGCATGGCCTCCTCCCGGTTCTCAGGATAAAAGCAATCAATGTGCTGCCATGTGTCGCATGTCTGGCAATATATTGTGCCCCCGTAATCGTAAAAGGAATTGCATATACACTTGATTGTGTAGATGTAGGACTCCGGCGGGCTGATCCCCCCGGCGTCATAGTGGGTGGCATGGACGGGGCTGGACGAGTCCACGGGCGCTGGATGTTTCCTGATCGAGCTTCGTTTCAGTTGTTGATCACGGCTGGTATGGTGCTCTGCCATGTGGTTCTCCAGTAGTTTTGCCGAGGCGAACACTGGATATTGACAACCTGGAACACGACAGATGTGTTTGGAATGGTCTACCTCATGGCGGATGAGGCTGTCAATATTATTAAAGCCCAAAGTGGCATATGGGCATGACCAGAGTTGACATGTAAACGCTGAACTTCGAAAGTTTTGTTTGAATTGTTCAAGCTGTTGAAAAGATATCCCGGGATAAGTGGAATAATTTAGTAACTTTTGAATTGTTGTTTGATGCCTCTTCCTTAAAGCAATGACATCGTGAGCCATATCATCGTGCTGTATACTGCTATCTACGCACACATTATATCGTTAGTCATGAGCTCAAAGAAAATCATGTAGAATGGGCAAGTGTACCATGGATTGACGTCGCTTCTATTGTCTCTTTCTTTTGTTCCAAGAGCACCACCTTGACCATTTTGTACAAGCGGTAATCCTTCTGTCGTATCAAAGCGAGTCGTGGGTCTGACGGGCCGCTATCTGCGGCTTCGCAATCGGTTTCTGCAGCTATAAAATTTTCTGCCAGACGACAAGATAATGCAAAGAAATCGGATTCGAAAAATCCAGCTTGATCAAACTCAAGAGATGCTAAGAGGTAGTCGGCCCAAAATTCGGTGGCGTACATGTGGAAGCCGTGAAGTCCACGAAGAACCCTCAAGGTTCTTTCCGAGTCTGGGTATAAAGGAGAAAAGATTTGCTGACCAGATAATAGACAGCGAACAGTAGCTAACCCATGCCGCCTTTGTGACTCGATCTCCGTGACTAAGAGTGGTGTATCAGAGCTCTGGAGAAAGCTTCCGTACGTTAGCTAGATATTTCCTATTTCGGAGTGGACGGACATACTCCCTGACCGACACATGTGCAAAGGAATAAGAAGAGTCGGCCTGCTTCTGGATGAGAGGTTCGCACCTATCGAGAATATATGCTGGCACAAGCTCATGAACTTGTTCTTGTTTGGTGTCAAAGACCAAAGCAGATAAAAGCTCTGCTAGGCTGAGCGGCCGTTTTGCAAATGCAATCCAGCTTAGGATGGCGCTGGTTCGCTGAGCAGATCTCTCATCAAAATTGGCCATAATCTGCGATAACATCCGACCATAGCTATTTCATTTTGGTGTTAGGCGAAACATTTATAAGAGGGGACCATTGCGGGACAGATTGCATGTCGTTCACTCACAACTCGCCAAGTTCCCGAGGAAGACTAATCGCTGCCTTCAAAATCTCATCACGGTGGTAGAAAATATTCCTGTTTATGTACTCTATGACGAGTTTTGCCCAGAGAAACATGCCTAGCGCCAACAAGTGTTAACCTAAGTAAGAGATGGTTCTGGTAGATGAAGACTTGCCACCTGCTTTCTGGGTGATTTGAGACGCCAACGCCGTCACATCGTCATCAGTGATATGTAACTGAGAGAGGCTTGGCCGAATAGCGTTTATCTTCTGCAAAGTATAATCCCGGATGGCCTTGTTCAAATGGTCTTTCTCGCTCGACAATGGTATTTGATGTTTCTTTTTGACGAATTGAGCCACCCCCGGCCTCATCTGAGTGCATAATAACACTTTGAGAATAGTTGCGGCAGAAGATGAAGCAGACACAACCAGCTTGTTAAGTGTTTTGACAACATTCGCTATTGTGCCATCATCGCATTCATCTAGCCCATCAATAATAATGTGAAGGGTTTTTTGTTTTTCTGGCAAGGCGCCCATAGCCTCGACTAAGAGGCGCAGAAGTTGTTCAACAACCGTGTTGCTTGGGGCTTTCTTCTTCAAGACTAACCAGTCATACGAAAGCGTGATGAGTTCAGGATCCAAACGAATTATTTGTATCATCAAAGACCGCATTATGTAGTTGTAGTGTGTCGACTCGGGGTAAAGGTGTGTGCAAAAATGTGCTGCTACCAAAGAGCTCTCAGAAGCACGGAGAAAAGTCGCGATTTGTGCTGCCAAGACACTTTTGCCACTCCCGAAGAAGCCATGGAGCACGGCAAATTGGGTATCGCGTTCGCAGTTTGCCCACGATTGAATCTTTGGTTGTTGGAGTATCCAACTGCAAGATCCGGGGTTTCGGTTTGCTTCAGAGATGAGATTATCAAATACCTTGATCTGGTGAGTCTCGTCAATTTTCAAGACGCTCAAGATAGCTCGAAACTCGGCACTTGTACGCTCCTCCTCCTCCTTTTTTAATTTAGCCCTTTCTTGCTGTCTCCAGTCCTCTAGTGCCTCTCTCATCCCCTTTGCCTCCGATAAGTTAGCTCCATTGACTGTTTTATCAACGAGATCCTCATGTGCTTTTAGATCAGCAAATATGCTGTCGAACCGCCGTTGGAAGCGCCCCCAAGAAGTAGCAAAGAGGCACTGCCATGCTAAACATCACTCAATATTAGCTGAGATCTATATTCCATCAGTACTTAAATGAGTCTGACCATTTCGCCGGACAAACTTATAGATTTCTCCGTGGAACTGAAGAATATCGGAGTAATACACTGCCAAGGTGCTTTGGATTTCTATGTTGTTTGAGAAAGAACGGTCAAAGAGTCTGAATCGAGCCAACGGCTCAGCTAGCCTGCTATAAACCTTGATGATCTGCTCAAAGGCTTCGGTGTAATCGGCGGATATCTAGATGCCAGTTTGATTCATCAGTGCCTGCGCGATCACTCACGTCTCATCACCCTGTATACCTTCAACACAAGCATAATGGGCGCCCATAGCCAAGGCAAATACGGCGTCCCATTGCATAAAACTTCAATCGCTTGTGAATAGTGGCCCAAGCCGGTGAATAAAGGTGCTAGTCTTCGCATGTTACGCAACGACTGACTTGCTGCAAGCTGCTTTTCGATTTGGAGAGCAGCCTGCTGAACGTCTTCAAGCGACAGATTTTTCAGTTGCACCCGATCGGAAACCGTGATTATTCTTTCAAGCTCCATGAATGCTTCTCGCATCATGCGCTGCGCCTGAAGAGAGGCCCTCTTGCTCAATGGCATCTCTTTTTTTTTTTTTTTTTTTTTTTTTTTTTTTTGGACGCGGAGAACTGTCGTTGGCCGGCTCCCGTCTTTCGCAGCGACAGTACTAGGCTCTCAGATGGCCTACAGAGAGACCTTCTACTAACATTGATAAGAATGAATAAAGTTTGCAAAAGGTGAAGCAATAGCCGACCATCTAATCCTCATCATGGCAGGCTTCTATTGCATGTGCCCCCTCGTGGTACGTGGTGGCTGGCATAAGGCTGTGCAAATTTCCATTGGCTGTCGACCATCCACGTCGCAACAGGCTTTTCGTTGGGCGCACATGGCCAATATAGGTTTTTATATAGGTATGGGGTACGATTTACGCTTTCTGGAACCGACATCTAATTTCACCGCAAGTTGATGATGGCCTCATGCTAATTGACACCGGATCCAAACAGCACAACTACAATGGAATTCAATCTGAATTATTCTCGCGGATCAAAGCGGCGGCGACCCAGCTTCTTCGGGGAATATGACGCCAATGAACCTGGACCAAAAAGAATTACGATTTCTGAAATACTAAATCTGGCGGTTGATGATGAGCGCCATGTCCAGACAGCACATGCTACACATAAATCAAGCTACACTCAAGAGTCTACAGCCTATGTCTATACCAATCAGACCAGCGCTTTTAACACTGAAAAGCAGTATATATGCTTTGGCACCGTGCGCAATTTCCTGCTCCTCTGCTACATGGCGCGTTTAACGTGACGGAGTTCAGACAACAGACATAAGCGGAATATGTCAGTTTATGCGAGCCTCACTGGCCCAAGAATTCACAATTCACTTGGACGATTCTCAGACATTCCACTGCATAGAAGACGCCTCCATAAAGGGCCGAATAGACCCAGAATTTGCATACATTATAGATGCTTTGCTCGACGAGAAAGAACTTGAATTGGAGATCACATGTTTTACAGACGCAATGCAATCATCCAAGACAAGATTTACTACGCCTTTTTCCACGCCATGCCGCCTAAAAGTGACTCTATTTGGACCCGTCTCTCTTTTTGAAGAAGTAGGAAGCTTTTTTGAGGACCATAATCTCTATCTTCAAGATCCAGTCAACTGCTCACGAAATGCTTTATACCGAAACCCGCACAAACTATCTGTTGACTGTGGCCCAGACCTATGGACCTCAGATTTAGACAGAGAACATTCAAACTTTGTGATGACCGAAACTACACAGCCGCGGCCTGAGTTAATCGATACATTAAACTCTCAAGAAGATCTAGTTGAAACGAAACAGCCTGGTTCCATTCGATCAGTAATGAAAAGGTAACGGAACAGACTCACGACAAAGCACTTTTTGATGAATTGTTGGTCAAGCTAATAAGATATCTCTACCTAGACATCAACTGCAAGCGTTGACGTTCATGCTCCAAAGAGAGCAAGGTTGGGCGTGGGATGGCAGCAGGGCAGACCTCTGGGAATTTTTTCTCGAGAGCACTGGTTCTTAGTAAGTCCCTATTAGCAACATATCACACATAATCACTGACCTTTCACTGACTCCTTCTGAATCATGCGTAGTTTCGTTAACAGGATCTCTGACGCAGTTCAGACAGAGCCACCCCAGCAATTTTATGGTGGGATCCTCGCAGACCCTATGGGTCTAGGCAAGACATTGTCCATGATTTCTCTAGTAGCCTCGGATCTACTCGTGGATAGAAACGATCCAAACTCAATCGATGGGGCCAATGCCGAAGAATCTTCGGGTCGAACATTGATCGTCGTACCACCACCTCGTGAGTTTGAACGCAGCAGTCTGCTCGCTCTCAATTTCCTGCAAAGGCTAAATGTTCCGCACAATATAGTTCTTGACTCCTGGGAAGAACAACTAAAAGAGTGAGGCTTATATAACATTCTCGAAGACCTAAGCCGACATGAAACTAACTGAAGCTTTCAGACATGTCTTCCCCAATAGTATCCCCTGGCGCCGGCATCATGGAAAATCTCGCGTAACAAATTATTCTGATCTTGAAGAATCTTTGGTAATATTGACAACTTATCACACAATATCCTCGGAATGGAAGGGTAGCTCGGATCAGCAGCCGTCCTTCTTATTCAACACACGGTGGAGGCGAATCGTCTTAGATGAAGGTTTGTCACACTCATCTTTGAAACGTTTCAAGAAAAGAACTATTCTACTTGATTACCTGATCAAGATATGCTGACGATTACCAGCCCATTTTATCCGAAATAGCGATTCTCGACTGGCTCGTGCCATATGTTCAATAAACTCGGTTTCCCGTTGGGCTGTAACGGGCTCGCCCATCCAAAACAGACTCGGCGATCTCACAGCGCTCCTCAAGTTCCTCCAAGTTTATCCCTATTCAGAAGAACATAAATTCAATGCAGATATCTCTCATCTATGGAAGATTGGCAAGATAGACGAGGCGGTGAAACGACTGAAGCGGCTTGCTGGTTGTATCCTTTTGCGTCGTCCCAAGACTGTTATCCAGCTGCCACCAAGACATGACTTCCAACACTTTGTGGAGCTAGCTCAAGAAGAAAGAGATTTATACCAAGCATTCAAAATGCACACTCTATCTCACATTGAACAAGCCCTCTCTGCAGATGACCAGTCTAAGAAAACATACTCTTATGCCAATATGCTACAAAGAATCGAAGCAATACGCATGGTTTGCAGTCTTGGCTTGTACTATAAAATGCGATATGATCTCGAGACATATAACGAGCAGACTCCCCAAAATTGGGCAGCAGTTGCCCAGCAGATGTTCAACATACGCCGTGGTATTAGTAGCATTCAGTGTCGCCTATGCTATTGCCCAGCTGATTCAACAGAGAGTACATTCTATGAAGCTGGGCTGTCGGCAATATCAACGTTCTCCCAATGCTTGGAATTTGTTTGTTCTAGATGCATATCAACTCGCTCACACCCCTTCAAATCCTGTTCTCATGAGAGCATATGTCCTTTTGCAAACATATCAACGGATATTTTCGAGACGGATGATATGCCAACTCTCACAATTAACCAGTTATCTAATGGATTACCAACAAAGATATCCATGCTAATCAGTGACCTGCAAAGTCAGCCTCATGATGTCAAATGGTGTGATATCTTAGACTGACCTCCGACTCGAATACATGTATTTTCGGCTGACATACGGAACAGTGTCGTCTTCTCTTCGTGGCGAACTACCCTCGAAATCATCGAGGTTGGACTTCAGCATGCATGCATTCCTTGTCTACGATTCGACGGCAAAGTGGCACAGAAAGATAGGCATACCGTAATCGAGCGATTTCGTAAAGACCCAGCTATTCGGGTGCTGCTGGTTACACTATCGTGTGGCGCGGTTGGGTAAGCCCAAGAGGCGCTATCATTCAGACATTCCAGCTCATTCTAATACGCTTCTTTCAACAGTCTTACATTAACGGAGGCCTCCAGGGCCTATCTTATGGAACCACACTGGTAATCTGCTCCCTGCGTATGATGGCGAGGAACTCTCGTTAATATGCTCGCTCTTCTATAGGAATCCAACGCTTGAAGACCAGGCGGTAGCTCGAATTCACCGTCTAGGACAGACGAAAGAAGTAAACACTATTCGATTCATCGTGCGAGACTCATTTGAGGAGGCATGTAATCTTACAATAAATAAACTTTCGGTGAATTCACTAACACTATTCTGAACGCAGAGAGTTGTAGAACTACAAAAATCCAAGACGGATCTGGCCGAGGTAATACATCGTCAAAATGAGAGCAACCAACCAGATGGAGCTCAACGGCCACTAGAGGTTCGTATAATGGCACCATAAATTCTTTTGATTACCGTCTAACTCAATCCAGTGGCTGAAAGCGCTCATATAAATTCATCCAAGTGAGCAAAATATATATGTAGTTCGGCATAATAGAAACTCTAGGCCTAAGATCTAGATCGCCGTTTCAGCGTTTCAGCATCCAGAATGTCCACATATATCACTTATAATACTACGAGCATAGAGCAGATGCAATTAACCAGTCTCCGCTCATCCAACTAGCCATTTATGTAATTTAGCAGATATGATACCATTAAGCTTATCTTCACGGCTCCTCCGGATGCGCAGCATCATACAGGGGTTGCTTTCGAAACGTAACACAGCCTCGATCCAATGTCCGCAAATCGTATCTATGGGCAGAACACGAAGTACATATATAAACCGAAACCCATTACAAAGCGGCGGAGATGAGTCTCTGGAATCTTCGGGCCGCAACGAGACCTCCCTATACATGCGCGAATTGCGCCGCCATGATGAGCTCCGTTTACTGGCCATTTTCCGGTTTTGTTGATGTATTAAACATCAGCCTTGTTTTATATCTCTCTCTATACGTCTCTGAAGTATACGAATTAGAATTTTCTTTCTCTATTTAATACGAAATTTCGGGGATATACCACGTGCGATGCTCCGTATTACTCAAGCCACGTAGCCAGCCAGTTACACAAATGACCGTAGATCACTATTTTCTTTCGGCCCAATACATAGACTGAGCATAAACAATTTTTTCCTATGATATGAACACATATAGTAGAAAATTTTGTTAGAGATAAGGCTGGATGGCATCAAAGACACTCAGTTCACCAAAAAAAGAAAATATCACACAAAGCAATTTGAGACAGCATCATTAAAAAAACACAATATTATAATTAAAACCCTATTTGAAAAAAAAAAAAATACCAAACTAAACTCTTTCCTCCTTTTTATCGTATTTTCCCAGCAGAAAATCCCACCATTACTCTATTAGAAAAATCCGAAATGAAGTCAGAAATCACCACCTAATAGCCTAAGCCAACAAATTAGAGGGCCATGACACAAGCACCGATGAAAACGGCCACAGCTCCCATGACAGGGGCAGCCGCGTTCACAGCACCGCCAGAAGACGGCACCGTGGTAGGACGCGACGCCTTGGAGGTAGTGGCCGTCTGGTTGTTCGCGTACGCACCTCTCTTTTGGTACGTGGCCATGGTTTCGGCCGCGCTCTCCGCGATACTGAAATCAAATTGAGTCACTGTGGCGGTCGTAGTGACCGTAGTGTTAGGGTCCTCAGAGGTGATGGTAGTAACGAAAGTAGTAGTAGGATCAGTGGTGGTGGTAGGGGGGGCGGTAGTGGTAGTAGCCACCGGCGCGGTGATGGTGGTAGTGAAAGTAGTAGAAGGATCAGCTGCGGTGATGGTGGTAGTGGCGGTGATAGTGTAAGTGGCAGTTATGACTTGGTTAGGCTGCCCTGTGACAGTGAGAGTGGTAGTGGAAAGATCCTGGGTGACAGTAACAGTGGCACCCCCATCTGTGACAGTAGTAGTAGAAGTGGCAGTGGTAGTAGAAGGATCCTGGGTGACCGTGGTAGTTGAAGGGTCCTGGGTGAAAGTGGTAGTGGAAGTAGCCGTGGTAGTAGCAACACCTGTACCTGTGACAGTAACAGTAGCCGTTGCCAGGCTGTCTTGGATGGATTGCAAGCGGCTCATGACGGAGCTAAAGAACCGATTAAAGTTTACCTGCGCAGTCATAGACGGGTCAGCGGCAGCTGTAATAAGCGCAGCTCGTAGTTTGTCTTCCTCGCTCTCGTGCTCCTGGTCGTTGTCATGCTCCTGTTCGTGGTCGTGCTCCTGGTCGTTGTCATGCTCCTGGTCGTGGTCGTTCTCCTGGTCATGGTCGTTCTCCTGGTCGTGGTCATGTTCCTGGTCATGGTCATGTTCCTGGTCGTGGTCATGTTCCTGGTCATGGTCATGTTCCTGGTCATGTCCATTGTTCTGGTCTTGGTCTCCATGGCGCCAAGTAGACGTCCACACGTGGGAAGTCCATTCGCCAGAAGTCCATTGGCGTGCCCCGACTACGGGTCCCGCAGTCGGGGCAGGAGACACAGCAGCCTCATGCTTCGCGACACGCGTGAATGGAGAGACCCGATGCTCAGGGGCGCCCTGGACGAGGGGCGCGGTGGCAGCGAGGGTCAAGATGAGAGCACGGAAGCCGTACATGATGAGGGATTGTGTGTGAAGTTGAGTGTGTAGAGTGCTGAAGTGAGCGAGGATGGGATGAGGAGGAAGAGAAGAGAGAACTTCATTGAGTGAAAGATTCGCTCAATTTATAACTGTTTGTCTGACACCATGATGGCCACCAACGGGGCAATATCTCCAACTATCCTCAACTTGATCACGCAATAACCCGCGAGGGAATTGATAAGAATAAGGCCGGTCTGTGGGACGAATCGCGCCGTTGGTGTCTGCCACTGTATCAGCCTTACAACCTTAACGGGGAAATCACCTCATAGATCGCGAGCTGGTGCCCTCAACAAAGCAACTCGGTGATATACGCAAGTCTCCAGATCCAATTGATGTCCTTGAAAACTATCGCTGATAAACACTAAAACCTTATTTTCGGCTAGAATCATAGAACGAATATGCCCGCTATGTTGTGTAGGATACCCATTTGCCCCGCTGCTCCTAACCTTCCGCCCTTTTCGTTTTTTTTCTCTTTTCTTTTCTTCCATTTTCGTCTTTCGTAGTTGTGCTATACTTTCTGTTGCCTAAGCTCGTATTTATTTGAACCCCAAAACGCCGTTGTGCAGCCCGAAGGAACCATCACTCTTCTTCTGGAATGTCTGAAAAGAAGCTGAATCGCATTCGGTGGCTCTGGTATAGGGCATTAGCTGCTGTCACGAGACTTGTGGAATATAATACAATATCTAGGTAGGTAGGGGATTGCTCACAAATGGTAGCTTCGGAATGACAACAGCCAGCGTAGCAAGGAAGTTAATGACAAAGTATGTTGAGTCGTAGTGGGTATAATGTGTGCTGAGTAAAAATAGCACGATAGGGACACTGAGGAGAAACTTCTTGGTCGGTGTGTACTGGGCTCCGTTGTCGATCTGCTCCCACATGTTGAGGTTATCGAAGGCACCGCCGTTGAAGTCAAAGGGAATGCCTCGAACGTAGTGGAACATGATGTAGGAGCCGACCATGTACGTCATATTGGTCAGCGTCCACGAAGCTTCCTGGGAACTGCCCGGGATAACATCGTAGAGGATCTTGAGGCAGGCGATGATGACGATGTGGATAGTCCAGGCCCCTATTTTTGCGGCGGTCCAAGGTTAGCAAACGCAAGCCAAAAAGGGCCTATTCAGGGGCCGGGCACGTGTATGGAAAAGCATACCTTTTGCGTTTGTCCAGTTGGCGTTCATGTTCGGTATAACAGCCTGATCGCTCATCTGCTCAAGCGTCTCGGGGGGCTCGTGGTAGACCTGGAGGATGCTGCTAGACCTCCTCCGGCGGCCACCAGCGCTTCGGTCGGTCATGTCGAGAAATCGGCTGCTGGCGGGTTTTGCGCCTGCGTCGTAAGTCTGTGAGGATGCAGGAAGACAAGTTGACGGCATTGTCGGTCTGGATGCTTTTGTCTGCTCCCGAGGCCGCGAATGCTCCTTCAGTCTCTCGCAAGGCAACGCGCAAGTCGGAGGCCAAACGTTAAATCGGGGCGCCGGGGAGTTCTTGGCGGCACACGTTGTTAACGAGGCGATGAAGGTACTGAGTACGACGTCGGCGGGTATAACTGAAGAGCGATCGATGCAGGCGGCGGGCACAAGCGAGTGAACAAGCTTTATGCAACTAAGCGGGCAGCAACTGGGCACAGCCACAAGAGGCTCAGGAACAAGCTTTCTGCTGTCTGGGAGTTGGTTATCTGGCTTCATCAGTGGCAGAGTGGGGGTGAATTTTGGAGGAATGGATGCGAATACGAACCTACCTTTTACTGTATCTTGCTTTTTTTTCTTTCTTCCTCTCTCTTTGAAAGAGAAAAATCTCGATGATGCTGCAATCACACGATTCACTTGGGCCAACGAATGTTTATTCACGCAAGGTTTTGCTTTGTTCTTGTTTTTCTCGGCGGCTTTTTAGATAAGGTACGGAGTGGCGGTATGGAGCGGGATGGGGTTGGTTGGCTGGCGCATTACGCGCATTATATGGTGGGCAGAGGGGCATAGAGGAGTGGAGGATTCTGTCGCAATTGCTGGATACGACTCGCTACTCCCGTCTCAAACTCGCTTAGAGAGCGTCCTGAGGAACTTGGAGATTTCTGAGCGGTGGTCCGGACAGGCTGACGACGGCTTTGCTGGGATCAGTATCAGTCTATGGAAGCTGTGGAGACACCCTGGAAAGGGGCGCCGCGGTACCTGCAGGAACAGGAGATATCATCCGACAGCAAATTGAAGCCTCCGTGGTGCTAATGCATGCTAATTAACGTAAACATCTATGATGGTGGGCGGCGAGCACCAAAGCGTAAAGGCTAAGGTGAAAATGCCTCTGGACAGGTAACCAACGACTTCTATAAGTGCTCAACACCAAGAGAGCGAGAGAGGGGGTTTGGTCCCTGATATCACATGTTCGGACTGGGTATTTGCTTAGGTGAACATCCAAACATCATTACAGCCCTCGTACACGATCCAGGCTTCTTCACACAGGACCCTTGGATGGCATCCCCCTACCCAGCTAATAACGTCTACACGTGCCAATCTAGCCGCTATCCGGGTGATCTGAAAAATCACCACATCTAGTCGCCTCTTTAGTGCAGCTGCTTTATTAAAAACCGGCCAAGACGCTGTGGCTGTATCTGTCCCACCTACCCCGTAATATCTATATCTTAATAACAGGCCAAGGGGACGCAAGGAGACGAGCCGTATCCTTGGCTTCTAGAAGGCTGCTTCATCATTTCGGCGACAGGGGCCGTCCGTGATTAGTGGCAGCGAATGATCCAAACACTGCATGCCACAGCCTCGACCAGTGAGATCACCTGGACTGTCTAATAACAATGCTGCCACTAATGCCTGCTGGTCTGGGAAGATCCAACCTTCTTTTAGACGGTGCCATCTCCTGCCTGCTTGGAGGTCCCTAATTAATTATGCTGGGCGCCACGTGCATCCATTACTTTTTATCTATTTTAGGGAGCTCATTTCGAAATCTGCAAGCCTGTGCTTGTGCAAGCAGCAAGGACATGATTCCAGACCTGCTCGCGTATCTCATCTAGAAAGCAGATGTCGTCCTAAAAATTGCGGTACTACGAGAACGTACCTGAAGAAAGAGCAGTCACATGCAATTTTCTTGCTCAACTACCATAATGAGTAACCTCTCCAAAAAAGAGAACAAAAAACTGACACACACGGAACACTTTCTTATAGATAGCAGCTCTAATTGATACTAGAGCACGGCCAATTATTCGCATAATCAATTGTTCACTTTGCCTGACGTAAACATCCAATCCATCCTATGCTGTGTGCCTTGAATATGGCCACCTCTGTCGAGGGGCTAAACTTCGGAAGTGGAGCTCTCACCTGCGTCAGGTTCCCAATTTGATTCGTCGCGTACTTTTTTCCTTGTGATAACGCATCGCCCAAAAAAAGAGTGTGCTTCTTCAATCTCATCTTGAAGATCACGGCTCTTCACCGCAACAACTGCAAATCTACACACTCCGATTTTTGGATCAACCAACAACAGGTTGTCTATTACCAAGTGTCGTGCTGAGTGCGCGCCGATGATCTAGGCAGGGCCTCAGGCTGCCCATCACCCGCGCCACTCGCGCCTGGGCTTCTCAGAAGACACGAGGGTTCACACGCAGTGAATTGCTTCCCCATTTGCTAGCCAACATACAGCCTTTTCTACAAGGCTGTTTGATTTTGCTTCTTAAATGGAGGAAAAGAGTTCGACTGCTCCTACAGAGCTTGCTAAGCCCCTGTCTAGCCTAGTCCCATCAGACGCCATGGCCACAGATCAATCAAACCCAGGAGACTTCATAAGCTTAAGTAGCGAGGATGAGCCCCCTTTGGCCAAGAAAAGGAAGTCCCCGGAAAATGATACGTCCAACGTTGCTGGATTGGATGCCCCTGCAGAGCGCTCTAAGCGTGCCAGAGTAAGCTCTGCCTCTGCTGGTAGCAGCCCAGGCGCAAAGGTATCAGAGGAGGGAGAGATTGACGACGATGAGGACTCCGAGGGCGAGATTCGTACTCCTGGTTCTCGCGATGGGAAGAAGTTGGCAGGCTTTGCGTCAAGCGGCGCCTTTGTGCCCAAATCCCCTCCGGTTTATACCCGTGACTCGATATCTCTCCAACTCCCCGTGTTTTCTCAGCAAAGGGAGGGCACCTGGCCTGCAAGATTCGAGGAGTGGGCACAACTTCTCTGCACGGCCAACTCAACGAGTGCCGCCAAGCTTACGCCAACGGTGATCCAAGATGCCTACAAGCAATACATTGATAGTCACAGTAGGCTGAAGGCCAATAAGAAGCGCGCTGCGAGACAGGCAGCCGAACAATATTCGGATGAATCTCTAGCTGCCTTGATAAGATCTCTTCAGCCACGCCAGAAGGACGCTGTACAGCTCCCAGCAGCGGCGGCGGTGCCTGAGGCTTTGGTCGAACCCAAAACGCAGAGTAACGCCTCTAGCGGATTGCCAGAGGCTCAGGTCAGCCATAAGAGCGAAAACTCCGACCCTGCTGTGCCACTTCCTCCTAGCACTTTGACAACACAAACTGATGGTTACTTTGTCATTGACGTGAAGCCGCAGCCTCCTCAGACGGCAAACTCGCGCGAACCTCGACCAATGTCACAGTCAGCACCTCAACCTGTCAAAACCGCCATGTCACAGCGGCCAGGCCTGCCTTCAGGGGAAGATGCCCTCGAGCAACAGCGCCGATATTTTCCTTCAGCCAGCGATCCGTCCAAAATGTGCTTGCTCTGCGGTCGAGAGGGCCATACTGCCGACGGCTGCACACACTGCGCGTGCAAATTCTGCGGACAAGACGACCATTGGCAATATGTTTGCCCATCTCTTGACCTCAAATGCGACAAGTGCGATATTCGGGGCCACTCAGCGGCTGGCTGCGCTACAGTTCGAGAAGAGAGAGGATATGTGTTCAAGTGCAGCTTGTGTCATTCAACTGCGCATACGGACGAGCGGTGCACGCAGCCATGGAGGTCATTCCACCCTGAGGCAGAGACGATCAAGACGGTTACTGCTCTGCCAGTGTCGTGCGCTTCATGCGGAAGCAGCCAACATTTCTCTGCGAATTGCATCTCGGATAGGGTGGCTATGGATCCCACCTTTCCTACCAATCCCACTTTTAGCATGTACAACATGAGTCGATATATAGACGCAGAGAGCACTTCATCTGCAATCATCGGTGCTGATGCACTCGCACCGAAGCAACAGCCAGGAGATCTTAGGATCCGTGGCCACGCTTCGCGCTCCAACGAAGTCCGCTACTACTCCGACAGTGATGACTCGGATGATGTGCAATTCCTGAGTCAACGAGCCGTTCCCAAACCGGTACGGACGGGTCGTATTAGGGTATCGACCAGTCTTCAACCGCCCAACGGAGATCAACAGCCTCCTCTGCCCCCGGGTCCACCACCTCCTGACCCCCCTCCGCCGCCTTCCAGTCGCGCACCAAGACACGGCTACTCGCAAACACCGACTGGGCCAACCTCGCTCCCTGCCAGGCCGCCGGTTGCATCGCGTGATTACAGAAGCGTACCACCGCCTCCATCCCAACCTGCACAGGATTCTCGCCAACAGTCTGGACGAGGAGGTCGAGGCGGTGGTCGAGGTGGTGGCCGAGGAGGCAGGGGAGGAGGCCCAGGAGGAGGCAGAGGCTACAGAGGAGGAAAATTCAGAGGCGGTAGGGGTCGAGGTGGTTAAACCGCTAATCGTGATGGAGTTTGGGAATGTACAGACAAGGAGAGACCCATGGGACTTCGAATGGAGGAAGCACGCGTTGGGCGATTCGATACAGGCCTTTACACTCTGGTCTGCAGTGTCAGGGGCAACATACTTTGATACCCCCTTGTACTATGGTTTCTCAATCTTGGAGCAAGGATTCGACGAGATACGATGGTGCTGGCTCATTGCAACCCGAAAGGCTTCTTAATGGAGGAAGAAGGCCGGATACAGAGGCTATGCACTGAACTCTAAATATGATGGATTGGAAAGGGGGATAAGAGATCTTCCCCAGACGTACATATCTGCGGACGGCATATTGGCATGCAAGCCCTCGCTGCATGTCTCAGTGTGGCTGCATTTGAAGAGCGGTGGTGGCTCGTGAAATTTGAGCCGATATAACTTGCATTCGTTGGGCAGAATAGATTTCTTTCAAGGACAATAGTTGGTACTACGGAAGCTCTAGCTGATATTCCCGTAGGTAGTGTAACACTAAATGTATAGAGTAGCATCGGCTTCACAACCGAGAATATCACGAACATTGATTCGACGAATGGACCATCATACTCGTAGCTCGTCGAAACAGCTGACCACTCAGAGCGCGCCGTGACGAAGGCACTTTCGTGATTTACCGATTTGCTCCTAGGTGAAGAAAATAAAAAGGACGCTAATACGAGTTGGCGATAGAGACATGCAATGTTTCAACGCGCCACGAGTCGGGTGCAGGCCACGGGCTGGGACAATCGGGTTTTTGTGGGTTGGGCAGCTGGGGGACGTGGCTAGTGTCGTGGACGGGAAGAACGATGAAGATGATGGTTTGATGGTGGTTTGGCTTGGCTTGTATGCCCGGGTTTCAGAGGGAGAGAGTTGGGCATGAGTCGGGACAAGGATGATGAAGCGAGTTGCGGCCTGAGAAATGCCTGAACGCTGCAGGGGCACCAGCAAGAACTTTTGAAGTGCTTTTCGTTAATTAACTACCGGGTTTGATACTTTGAGTATTCTTTCTTAGTAGTTACAGTAGGTATGGTCGTCTATCTTTTTTTGTTAGGTGGTGTTGAGGCCAGTCACGAGAATAAAAAAGACAAAACTCTAATAATGAAGATGGTTGATATACTGCCGCTGCCAAATCCCACGAAATCGCGCTTAAGCTTCACCGTCAAGCTTGACTGGCCTCTCGCGCGTATTCCATCGCGCTGCCACCATTTCGAGAAAACCAACTTCGTGATTCGCCCACCGCCTTTGTCTCGATCAAAAAGGTCGCGTCAAAAACCTACTATCGATAGCACCACCACCCAAAGCCTTTTAAACAACCCAAACTAAAACAACCCTTGTCCCACGCTTATGCACCCTTGTCCCCCACATTCGACCAACCCACTGGCCACAGCGATCGAAACCATGAGACGGTGCCTGTGGACACATGCTGCTTTCTGTTCCACCCTGCAGCTTTTTTGTTCCACCTTGCTGGCGCGGCCGGGAGTGACGCGGACACGGTGAGAGCCTGGCGTTGTTCGCGATGTGAGTCACTGGCCAGTTGTTCCTGGAGCTGGCGACTTTGGCGATGCTGGTGCTGCAGGACGATTGGAGCGCGGAGGGTTGGCGAGAATGGCGCTACAGGGGACAGACGGGAGCAGAGTTTTTTCTCTGGCTCGTTTCCGTCTGGCTTTCTAGTCGATGGATGCCCAGCCCGGGGGGACGAAGCGAAGCGATAATGGGCAGAAATTATAGGGTTGAATTTGGGTAGGGTTGTGGGATATATACAGGCGAGGACGGAGACCGGCTTCTCGTGCTGCTCATCTTGGATTTCCATCTGGTAATTTTGCTGTGTGAATAACTGTATTCGATCTTGTGTCTTGATATTGACGACTGATTGAGAGCACATTCGTCTCTCGATCTCACCATCATCAAGGGGTTTATACTTGATATCCAACCACCAACTACCTTATATCCACCAGACTAGAGCTGCAGGCCATCAATACTAGCAGTCTAAGCATCTGCTCTCTTGAAACAAATCCTTTGAAACAAATATCTCGAGGGCCTAACCCCGCGATATGACACGGATATGGCTTCAACAGAACAACTCTTTATCGCCATGTTGAGGAGCGACGCTGTCAAGGACAGCCTCTTCCATCACCTCACCACATCCGACATTTGTGCCATCCGCGAGGCTTCATCAGCCTGCTGCAACTTGGTCACCAAGCGTCTCTTCACCCGCATCCACGTCACTTTCACGGCTTCCACCTTCACCCGACCCTCGCGCATCGCCGCCCTGGGCCGGGTCGGGCATCATGTCGAGCACTTGACCTTTCACTTTGCCCACTCCGAGGCGACGTTTCTACCTCCGCTGATCCATCCCCTGACGGGAGATGAGATTGCCTTTTTGTATAAGCCGCTCACCAGCATGGGATCAGCGCTGACTCGCCCCAAGTATGCCAACACGGAGCTGGGCGAGATCTTGACGCAGCAGTATCCTCCGCTGTTCCACGCGGCCACAAACGTCCCCAGCTTCATCTATGCCATTGGCAACATCCCCAACATGAGGCACCTGACCATTCGGTGTCCCGGCCAGGACCCAAGGGAACGGTACAGGAGGGACGTTGTTGACTATGCCCTCATCAGCCTGCGGATTGCCATTGAGCGTGCGCCAATGACGAAGCTCCATAAGTTATCTCTGTCGTCTCTCCATCCCTCTGCCTTCAACTATCTCAGATACATCAATGGAATCGGCAGCGTGCCCTCTGCAAGCCGTAGGTGGCAGCAGATAAACAAGCTGCACATCTCAGTGGAAGCCTGGGACTTTTATGGCCCGTCTCCCGGCCTGGACCATCTTAAAGTCATTGATGACTACATCCGCAACTTCTCCCAAGGCCTAGACAAGTTTACGTTTGCCTGGATCGGTGCCAAAGGACCGTGTCCCGTTGCTCTCTCTGCTGATCCCCTCTTCGCGCCGCCTCGCAGCACTAAGAAGCTATTCCATGAAGTCACTTCTCCCATGTCGCCTCTGCCAACCCGGCCTCCTCGCTGTCCCATCCACTTCCCTAAGCTGCGCTATCTACAGATTCGTAATGCCACCATGAACTCTCCCCAGCTCAGGGGCTTAATCGCGTCCCACCAAAAGACTGTTAAGCAGTTTGGGTTTGAGAACGTCGTCCTCGCCAACAACGGTAGCTGGGACGAAGCCCTGGCGCCTGTGAACGGCGACGATAACTGGTCTCGGAGCAGTGCCACGGCGCCTTCGGAGTTTTCTGTCGTAACCGGCACAAGTGATGAAGAGTTGCCTAGTCCCAGTGCGGCTGTCGAGGCTGCCAGCCGAGAGCTGATGGATCTCGACTTGAGCGGCCTCACCCTGAGCGAGGACGAGAGAGATGTAGCTCAAGATTTTACCAGCGAATTTGCCGGGCCGAGAGAATCGGATACGAGTGTTTCTACCAAGCTTACGCGAAAGCGTGTCCGTCGGCGCCACAAGAAGCACTCCAAGACAGAGAAGAGAGAACAAGCCCCTGAGCATCCATCTCCTCTATCGCCACCTCTATCGTCTCATAGTCACAAGTCTTCCTCTTCTATACACAGCTTAAAGCCATCCAAGCTGCGTCTCAGGCTATCTTTTGGATCTAGCGATATTGCCTACTCTGCCGTCCCTGAGCCGCTGTCTATCATCTCGCCCCCCATCATAACGTCGGAGCCCCAACCCGTCCTCCTTCAACCGACCATCTACTCTCCCTCCGCTCATCGTCAGGCCGGCCCCGACGATGGAATCTCTACTGTACAACGCAATTTGGAAAAGGAAAAGGCTCATCAACTATTTGCCGAGGACGCGGATGCGAGAGCAAGCGCCCTACACAAGGCCAAGGAAGCAGTTCTTGCGAAACTCAGCAAAGAGTTTTACAGCAAAAAGGATAGAATCACGGATGCGGTATCCGTGTGTCGGTATAGGGGCGTCAGGGAGGTGAGTGGGTGCAGCAGAGAGATGGTGATGGAGGATTGGAGGGGATTGGAGAGCAGGAGTGCGTTGGTGCCCTTAATGTTTAGTCGATCTTAGATGCGTGGTTGAGATCTGGAAACAGAGGTAATGGAAGGAGGGTATGATTATGATGATGATACGACGACACGAATGTTTTGGTATGGATTCGGTCTTTGGGCTTTCTTTTATGTCACTCTTTCCGGTCACTCTTCTTTGATGTATTTTTTATTGTATTGATATCTGGACGGGGGATATGGACATGTACAGTACGATCATTACACAGTCTCTCATTTAGTATTATTAGTGTTTAAACTCTTAGTACTCTAATCACTCTACTCACAATGTTCTTGGCTCCCATATCACAAAATACTTCATTCAGGTACTCTCGTTGGCAATCTTCTCCAGCGTCTTCACATACTCCTCCACCTCCTTCGCCCCCGTCAGCGTAATATCCCTCCTCTTCCCCTCCACCATCACAACCGGCACCGCATCAACATCCCGGCTCACCTCCCTCAGCTTCGCCTTGACCTCCGCCAACCCAATCTCCTTATCACCCACAACCTTGCTCGCCTCCTCCTCACTAATCCCCGCCTCCACACACGCCCCTATCAAAACCTCATCCCTAGAAGGATGCTCTCCCCTCTCAAAGTACCGCTCATACAGCGCATCAATCAGCTTATTCGCCGTTTCAGGGCCCTTGGATGACTGAAAATACTGCACCACGCGGTGCGCGTGCAGGGTGTTCCCCATGTATCCGTCGAAGCGCAGGGCGACGCCGAGGGGCTCGGCGATGTTGGTCATGTGAGCCTGGAAGACCTGCTGGGTGGTGGCGTCGCCGAAGTGCTTGTTGTCGAGATACCACTGCAGGCGGTCTGCTTCGGGAGGGAAGTTTGGGTTGAGCTGGTAGGGGGCGAAGTGGAGGGTATAAGAGACGGAGGAGGCCATGGGGGAGGAGCGGAACTTTGCGAGTGCTTGGTCTAGTCTGTTGGAGGTTTTGGGGGTTAGTTATGTGGATTTGGGTTTGAGATTGAGTGTGGGAGATGAGATGTGCCTTTTCTTGGCCATGTATGTCCTGTGAATCGTATTAGTAGGTGAATGTGTATAGGCATGATGAGATTCATGCTGCGTTGTTTGTGTAAGTGATGGGCATTTACGTACCAGGGACATATAGTGTCCAGCGTAAAAGTAACTTGCGACTCATACATTCTGTCTCACGTATTCATAGATGATGATTAACTGTAGCACGCTGAATCTGGGATAATATCGTCACTTTGCAAAGAAGGGAAAGCTCTGGAATGAAGTTGGAATGAGAGCCCGACGTCACAGTCGCTGATGCTAACTTAATCTAGGGATTTGCGGGGGAAGAGTTCGGGAACCAGCCGGGAAGGATATTGAGGGGCCGATCAGCCCGCAATTCTAAATCATGACTAACAAATGACAGAGTTGCGGCACACAAGAACTAAATCATTGCGGGATATATCTTTTCATTAAGACTCATTGTAAATATACGGATGAAGGAACAAAAAAAAAAAATATGCTCGAGGGGTATCTATCTTATAGTCAAGATAGCCGATGCTAGTCAAATGTAACCTTGGTTCCGGTATGCTCAACCAAGCCTCCCGTGAGACGAGCGACAGCAATGTCCGGAGCACCCTTTGACGGCGCCGCCTCTGGTCTGCTTCCCCTGCTGTTGTCCCTGTCGTCTGCCCTGGGTCTCCTGGGAGGTCTTGATGTGTCGTCGGCCTTCTTATCCTTGCCGAACCGCTTCTTGTATCGCACCTGGTCGTCCTCGGCCAGCTCAAGCTTGAGCTCGCGACCCAGCATGCGGTTCACCCACCACTTTCTCGTCTTGAACTGCTTCTGCGCCGTCTTCTCTCCATCTTCAGCCTCATCGTCGCTCTTGTCGTCCCGGAAATCCTCCTCAGTCTCCACCGCCTCCTTGATCTTGACAAAGCCCTTGACGGCCCAGGCGGCAGCTTCTGGCTCCTTGAACTTGATCCAGCCGTAGCCCTTGCATTTGCCCGAGTCCTCGAACGTGGCCAGCTTGGCCCACTCAATCTCTCCGCACTTTTCAAAGTTTCGCATCAGGTCCTCCTCGGTGACCTTGAAGCTCAGATTGCCCACAAACACTTTGCGGCTGGCGTTGGTCTCTTGGCGCTGCTCCGTCTTATTCTTGGAGGATGCCGCGTCGGATTTCCCGGCTGCCTCTTCGGGTTCCTTCTCTTTAGCCGGGCGACCTTCGAATGATTTGGCATCCTTGATGAGCAGCTTGCGTCCATTGAGATCTGTCTCCGAGAGGGCAATGGCAGCGACTTTGCCGCCAATGTCTGTAAAATCGACGTAGGCAAATCCCTTGTTCGCAGGCTTCTCGCCCTTGGGTCGGGTGGCGTCCTTTACCGTAGGCAGCTTCACTCTTGTAATCGCCTCTTCGGTGAGGACACCTCCGGCATTGTCTATCAGCCATGTGCGAAGTTCGGCCACCGTCAGCCTGAATGGCAGGTTGCCAATCCAGACTCCATGCTCGGATCGTACTTTCTCCTTGCTTTCTTTCTCGCCATCTTTATCATCCTTCTCATCGTCGCTCGAGGGCTTGGCTGGCAAGGGCTTTCCCTTCTTGAGGGCTCGTCGCGCTCGTTTTGACGGCGGTTCCGGTGCATTTACGTCGACCTCGATCTCCTCGACCTCAGCCTTGCGCTTAGAGGAAGTCGACAAGTCGACTTCCGGCGATTGGGGAGATTCTGGATCTGTGGATGCCATTGGGGGTTATGTATATGATTGTGTATTTCGTAACATGCACTCAATCATCTTTCCGAAGCATTCGGTCAATACGGCCAGCCAGCAGAAATTTCTTGGAGCCAGCGGAAATCTCCCAATCGATAAGGCGATAACTACCCGTAGCGAAGTGGGGGCGCCAGGAATTGGGTTAAGCGTTAGTTAGCTGGCTACTAAGGTACCTACTAAGCGCTGAAGCCGGCCATTGTCCACCAGCCAAAACCAGGCCGCAAAGAGCATATGCAACGAGAAGCATGCTGCATCCCATTCCTAGCACGCAACGCTCTTCAGGACCCAACGGCCGTCCGAGAAACTCAGATCGTCAATAGGAATGACTCCCGTCACGCTTGCGCCGTGTTACGCCAGCGACAGCAGGGCCTCTGAGTGGCTGACATGACGAAGTGGCGCGGAGCCACGACTTTGCCCGGCATTAGCGTTACGACGGCAGGAAAAAAGTTTGAAATGGAGATGACATTGGACGCAGCTAACGACGAGAGTGTGGGAGAAGGACGGCCAAAGAAATGTGACGGCTAGTGATTCGCAGGAGCTTCCTAATGCAGGCTGAGTCGTGTGCTCTGGACTGGCGACTGCGACGCTGGGCCACGGATGGAGCGCTGCTGTCGTGGTCGGTCCTATTGTGCAGTCTCATTCATGTGTTTGTCCTTGAATGCATGCCAACTGACCCGTGCGAGTGCAGGTATCTACGAGTACGACGAGCCACTCTAGGCATAAGCTCCACATGGCATCAATTCTGCCTTGATGGAATGGCGAGAATTCATCTCGGGGCTGGAGCGTGCGCGCTGAGGCCCACTGCTAGCCAGCAATAGTTTGTTGCGATGGCAATGTGCATGGCCAAGCGTTTTTGTGCGAGGGCCCTTTTGCAACAAAAGCATGTTTTATATAAAATGAATGAACCGGCCTGCCGCAAGGAGAGAAATAGTCGAGTGGTAGGCCGAGCCTAGCTCTGCAGGTCGGCCGAGCGAAATGACTCCAGTCTTGCCCTTGATCCCTTGACACGGTAGGTACTCGGATATGCAAGTTCTGTGCTAGGCGTTCCGGATCATGATGGGATGGAACCGCACAGTAGTAATCCGGCCGTTTGCCGTCAGATGCTGGTCGTCTCACCCGTCTAGAGTCTAGAGGCAAGGCTCACGATGCGGTCTTCCGAGGGCAAACAAGCAGATCTGGACCCGCAGCTCTCCTTGCCTCGAGTGGGACAGGCGAATGAAACATTTCCCTTGCACAGCTGAGGCACGCTGCAGGGACGAGGCAGGATAGCGCCGGAGAAAAAAAAAACATGGAAGAGGAAAGGGAAAATAAGAGAGAGCAGATCCGGCCAGGCAAACAAGCCGTTGCCAGATCAGCTGAACCGAATGACCTAGAACTCCGTGCTTGGTCTGCGCTGTGTCGTGCTCAGTTTTTCGTTTTGCCGCCCAAGGACAGACTCCATCCCGGTACATGTACATGCACATGCAGCTTGCAGCGCTGGCTAGCGTTGCAGCCCAACAGGCCAACCAGCTGTGGGGGATTGCCCCGGGGGCTTACACGTAGTGCTCTATAGCGCTGGTAGTGCGCTATGCCCTCTGCCCTCTGACGCACCTGTGCCTCCAGCCACGTTGTATATAGCGGGCGACGGCGCTGCGGTCCAGCGAAACGGGCCAGGCCTGTGGCAGTTGAGCCGGTGGCCTCCGCTGGCAGATGGAGCCGGACGAACGCTGTTGTGCTGTAGTTTGACGGGCAGCCATCCATCACGTGCGACGGGTTCAGCGGCTGGCCGAAAGTTGAGCTTTTGTCGGCCATCTTTTTTGCTTTCGTCCTGCCATGGCCATCCCTGGCGACGCAACAGTCTCCGCATCTTAATCCTTTAACTATTACCCACTCGCTCGCTTTTGTCCACAACAACTCACAACCTCTGCCCTTGCACTGGCCGGGCACCCATGCAGAGCCCCGTTGACCGCTCTCTGGCACTGGTTCTGGTACTTTATTGCGCTGCAGCCGGGCCTATTTTTCGCGGCTCTTTCTCCTCTTTGCCTTCCGTTGCTTCGCCCCTCTCATCCGGACGGTGACGAGGACGGCGCTCGACTCGACATTTCATCTGACGAATACTCCGTTCAACACAATACAGTACGACCAGCATCAAGCACACTCGATACAATCAGCGCCATCAGCATCCTAGCCGCCATCGCAACCGGGACGCCGACAGTCTGAAAATTCACACAGCTTCGCTTCGCTTCAACTGCGTCGCTTTGCCACAATGAATGTGCTGCTGTCGCCGCAGTTTCCAGTTTTTCCTCACCAGCACGAAAACCCACATCTATCCCAGCGAAACAGTAAGTCATCGCCAGAGTCGCTTCCTTCATCCATGCCTTGGGTTGTTGGCGCATCGCACACGCATCCATCTCCATCTCCCCGTACCATGTTCTGGAGCTCACATTCCTGTGCAGTCTCATCGCTTCAAAACATGAGCACCCGAAAACGAAAGGCCGACGAAGATGGAGACGAAAACATGTCGCCCATGAGCTCACCCGCTGTGTCCTCTCGCCCTCTTATTCGCCCGTCGAAAAAATTCAGATCAAATGATTTAATCGGAAGGCCACTCCCTCTGCCTCGGCTTTTGGAAACCCTCGACACGAATCAGCTACGAACAGTGTTGGAACGCATCTGTGAGCGTCACCCGGATATTGGACAAGAGGTGGTTTCGCAAGCGCCCCGGCCTACGGTCGGCGCAGCCATGGATGTCCTGCAGTCCTATCAAGACAGATTAAACGCTGCCGCTCCATATGGCAATAGTAGCGCTGAATACACCTACGACCGAGTCAAGGCCCCTCTGGTCGCTTTGATCGATGCCCTCTCCGATTTCACCCCTCAGTTTCTTCCACCGATAGAAACCCAGCCTACCAAATCTCTCGAATTCCTCGACGGCGCGACAAGATTCATTCACAACCTTCCAAACTGGCAGCCGCAAGCCTATCGTCACCACAAAGAAAATGCATACGAAGACCTCTCTAAAGCATGGGCCTTGGTCATCAACGAAGCTGCGAAGCGGGGTGGTGGTTTCAACCTACACACGGATGGATGGGATCAGAAACTCGCCCGACATAACGAGCAATCCGGTGGACGACTGGGTACCGCCATCACTGCCATGTCAAATAGCGTTGGTTGGATCTCAAATGAGAATGCGGAGCAAAATTCCATTCTTAACCAGATTGTGTCGGGTGCATACGGAGCACCAGTCAGAGTCGGACCCTGGTAAAGGCTGCCAGAACACCTTACGACACATACTCATTTCATTTTTTTCACGACATCATCTTTTGCATCAACGGGCTATTATAGACTTCGGCACTCTTTTTCTTTTCCTTACGCACACAACTGGTTGGTTGGTTGGCTGGCTGGCGTTCTTTCCTTTGTCATTCTTGATATCCTTTCCCTATCACTCAAGTGGGCAGCAGGGACTCTACGTGTGGCATATTTTGCGGTATTTGTACTGGTACGGGGACATTCTCATTTGTAAATAACTTAAACAATCCATAGACTGGTACCTCTAATGCTGAAAACAGGCGTGGATCAAATTGTGTCTCAACATGTAAAATCAACTTTTTCTCCCAGCAGAGCTTCCGACTCTTGAACGACTCCACTGAGTAGAGCTTGATGGCTTGACGCTGCTTCTTCGTTATCTAAAAGAATCTTCTCAAGTGTTAATCGAAATGTGCCGCGAAGCTGACGACGCAATGGATGTCTTCATCAGCAATTCCTCCGGTAATACTTGACAAATGCGTGCTAGTGGGAGGTCAGCCGGACAAGATGAGCAGGGCGTTGAGCTGAGACAAGCTGGAGGTTGCGAAATCCCGGGGTACGTACCTATCACCTCCGGCTCAGACACGTCACGTGCTCACCTGTTTGTCAATTAAACAGACGCGCCTGTTAGTATGTCATGAACGCGACTCATCGTGAATGGAAGCCTAGCATAACATTCAAGGCATCCAACCAACGCCTTTGCTTGCACAGATTCGACTGCTGCCCAACTGAATTCAGTGCACTCTCATATTCTCTGCTATAGATGAAAGGGTGATTCCGGTTGCCAATCAATGCCTGCGTACGCCCTCCCTCAGCTTAACTAACATGGTGCGACTCGGTTGTGATTAACAATAGCTTCCAGCCCGGGCGATCAACACCAGGAGTGGCCCAACCCCTTCGAGGAGGCCAAGCCGCGCATAGCAGGATGGTCAGCCAAGGAAATCGCCACAATCGCCTCGAGGCTTGACAAGCAGCTCGGCCCCGAATACATCTCTTCGCGCGCAGGTCCCGGTGGTTCACGGGTGCATTATCTCACTGCCGAAAAGGTCATCGGCCTCGCCAACGAGGTTTTCGGCTTCAACGGGTGGTCGTCCTCGATCCAAAACATCCAAGTCGATTTTGCCGACGAGAATCCAACGTCGCAGCGCGTCAGCATCGGGCTGTCTGTCATCGTTCGGGTCACTCTTCGAGATGGAACCTACCACGAGGATGTCGGCTACGGCTCAATAGAGAACGCCAAAGGGAAGGCGATGGCCTTTGAAAAGGCGAAAAAGGAGGGGACTACAGATGCTCTGAAACGAACGCTGAGGAACTTTGGCAATATTCTGGGTAACTGCATCTACGACCAAGACTACGTGAAGCAGGTTACCAAGATTAAGGCCCAGACCAACAAGAAGTTTGATCCGGATAATCTTCACCGACACTCGGATTTTGCCAAGAAGGAGGTGACCATGACCGGCAACGTGAGCAATGCTGGTAATAGCACCGCAGCCAATGTCGCTGTCACTGCTGCTACTGCTGCTCCCACGTCCGCAGCTGGAGGGTTCAAGATAGAACCAATGGACTCATTTGATGACTTCTTGGGGGGTATGCTGTCCTCAGATGGCTTTGAAGAGATTGAGGCTGAATATCTATAGAACTTGACGAAGCTGATTTCTGTGTGCCGGGAGATGGTCATCCCGATGAAATCATGCTTCCCAGCGCAGCCAACCCACCCAACGACAAGCCTGCTGCTAACGAATCAAGGCCGGGTCAACCAGCAAAGCCTATGCCGGGAAATAACTTGAATCGGCCGCCGCAGCCACAGCCGTATACTCCCCGACAAGGACAACCACCTCGACCACAGAATGCCCCGCCAAGCAAGGAGTCTCTAAATCAAACGATGGCTCCTCCTCCTCAGGCCCCTCCTCCGGGAGAGCCTGTGGCATTCTTCTCAGCGAGATCTACCATGCCTGATACAAACCAGGCTGGCAACCAAAGCCAGCAGAAGCAGCTCTTTAATCCCAAGGCCGAAAGCCCTTCGATACGAAAGACTCCTGGAATCGATCACACATCATCCAAGCCCGTTGCGAGGAACGGTCAGCATGTCCCTCCGGCTAACAGCCAAGCAACGTCTACACCAAGTGGCAACACCGGCGGCTTCACATCACTACGGCAGTCAATCGGCAGCTCTCAAGCCAGGGGCAATCCGATGAATCCATCTCTGGACCAAGCTCGTAGAATAGGAGCTCCGGGTGGTGGTCTGGGCAGTCCCCTTGCAAATCGAGGCCAATACAAACCTCCAACAATGAAACGAACGCTACCGAGCGAAGCCAATGGGGCTAATGGACCGAGGGCGCCATTGGCTGACATTCCAACAAATGCAGGCAACGGTAACAGCGAGGATGGGCTGGACGCAAAGAGGCAGAAAGTGGCATGACTCTAATGACAAGAGCAAAAGCGGCATTTGGGCATGACATGAGCATGGAGTCTTGGAGTTTTGGGTCGGTGATAAATGACAGCCCCCCTGTGATTTAGTTATTTGGGGCTTAGACAGATGTTGAATGTTTGGCCGAATATTTCCAATTCGTTATGAAATGGGTGTAATCTGGGGCAATTGATGTTTGATGTCTTCAACCCTGCCCCTACTCCTGATATTCAATGACTATGAAAGGCTTTATTCTCCCGACTACGTTTCGCTACACACTCGAATTCCCCCTGGCTCTCGGAACTTTCTCGGTAGTGCAGCTCAGATCGATGAAGTGCACAATATCGACGCCCACTCTGGCTGTCCTCAGTGAAGCATGCACATAATACGTTCTCCGCAAGTTTTCGTCATACCGAACTTTGACGGTCGTGTGTCTCTTTTTCCGCACGGCATTGCCTACTTTATTGGCATCTCGTAGATGAGGAGATATATTCAAATCATCAGGAAGCGCAACGCCAATCCACGGCTTTCCTTCCTCCTTCACACCTCCAAAAGCTAATATGAAATCGCTGCAATTTGTGAAGCTGGGATCAGGCCTGAAATGCGTGTAAGCAGCAAAGTCCTCTCTGCCACGAGTCTGGAACATGTGCTGGCGAGTATCCCACTCCGTCTCGGGGATGTAAGACAGCGGCGTGAAGAGAAAGGCCTGAGTGGGCGGGTTGACGCCCCTCCGAAAGATGAAGGAGTAGCTGAAGAGGGTCTCGAGGTAGAGCGAGCGGCTGGGGGAGACGTGCTTGGGGAGGAAGACGCGGATGCTGTGGAGGGGGTTTCCGCCGGGAGGGGTGGCGAAGCGGTCTGCTTCGACGCGGCTGTAGACGCCGCCGCCGTGGGACTTGATGAGGATGCCGATGTGACGGCGGCTTGATGATACGTTGCTGGTGGATATTGATGAGGAGGTTCCGTGGGGAGCAAAGTCGACGCAGTTCATGTCCATGAAGAAGATGCGGTCGCTGACGGGAAAGAGGTCGGAGTCTATGCGGAGGCCCTTGTTGGTGATGAGGAATTCGGTGCTGAACATGGGGTCGTTGATGAGATGAATGGATCCTGAGTTGACGAAGTCTGCGGGCGTGGAGGCGAACATGCCGTGATGTGTTTGCTTCTGATCCCCTGACAACGACAACGACGATGACGATGATGATAATGATGGCGATGGAGATGATGCTGTCCTCCACGCAAATAGGCTAGGGTCGTTCTTCTCCTTTGCAATTTCTTCCTGTAGACGCAAGAATGCTCGTGACCCTTCGCCGTAGATCATTGGCATGTTCACATCGAAGATGCCCAGCAGGCTATACGCCATGTCCTCGATGCGCGTCGTCTGTCGACTTGCCGCCCAGGCCATCTTCTGTGCGACAGGGAGCTGGCTTAGTCTTGCAGGATCCTTGAGAACAGCAGTGCTGATATTCGTAATCTGCGTAATAAGTTGTCTAAGAGTACTCTTCGTGCCTCGAAACGCCCACGTCTGATCATAAAACTTGAGGACCCGCGGTGCGATGAGTTCTTGCAGCGTCCAGCCCCGTGTGAACCACCGACACTTGGGCAACTGATAATGAACATGGCGATTGTCCGGCGGGAGATCCATGAGCCAGGCATAGCACACGTCCGCGTGGAGGTAGAACCGGAACATGGAGTTGATGGCCTCTGTCAGCTCGGAGCTGCTGGTCTTGTCGATGCAGCAGGTGTCGGCCCAGGCGTACTGCAGGCCGTCCTGCCTGGCGAGCTCGCAGAGCTTCTGGAGCTTGGTGAAGCCGCGTTTGCGGGAGCGGATGGCGTCGTGGGGGAAGTCTTGGAAGGTGACTTCTTGGTCTTCCCATGTGTGTGAGAGGATGGCGTATTTGGGGACGTCGGTTTCGAGGAATTCGACGAGGGTGAGGGTTTCGGTGTTGATGAGGCGCATGGCTGCGGCTGATGGAGGAGGTTTAGAAAGGAATTGGTATCTCTGGAGTTTACTTTTTCCATGTACAAGTAAGTGATGTTTATATTGATGCTATTCCTTGGTGTATACTATATTTAAACAAGGCAGACTGAGATCGATCATGGTGGAGGATCTGAAAGGATCTGAAAGGATCTGGACAGGGGTCTGTGTATGTGCTTAGCCTTGCATGGTAAGGTAAGAGGCTAGAATCCTAGCAAGTCTGTGAATCTACATTGTTGAAATAACGAAAAAGCGCTCACAAAAATAACCAAGTATCTAGTTAGTTGAAACGCGAATAATTTGCATGACATCTATTTTGGAGCTTCGGTCGGTGATGAAACGGCCTCAAATAGAGCATCTTCTATCTTCCATAGACTGCAGATGTCGTTCTCTCGTCCTGCATAGACTTGATTGTCTAGCGCCCATTCAAGTGTCCCTCCCTTCAAACCTAATTCCTCTCCTTCTCGCTTACACGAGTCGAAATCAATAATGACAGCATCATCCCCATCCATCATGATGTTTGATGGGTTCAAATCATTGTGTACAAGTCCTAACTCGTGCAAATGACGTAATCCTGCTTTGATCCCACTCAAACAATGGCTTTTGTTGAAATCTATCCCGTCTCGAAGCAATTGCGATAGAGTTACTGAGTATCTCGTGAAAACCAGTCCTCTTACCCGACCTTCTTTCACAACACAGCCTAGATACTGAGCAATATTGGGGTGCGGGTTTCTTCGCAGGATCTCGCACGCTTCGATCTCGGTCAATATTTGACGGCTGTATTCAGAAGCGTCGTGTGTATCTTCGTAATATAGAAGGCTGGGTCGCTTCAAATAGGAGGTTGAAGGTAGCGGATCGGCAGCGCGGGTGAACGTGGGATCAGCTAGAGGCCAGATATGGTCCGCGGGAATTCTAGAGATATCTAGACTATTGACGTCTATATGAGGAATTTGGTGCTGGCGGGAATTTGTTTTGGCATAGAAAAATTCGTCATCCGCTCCTTTCAGGATGATCTTGGTGTGGTCAAAAACGAGGTCGTCATCTTTCTCAATGAACGCCTCGCCGGTCTCGCAAATCTCCATCGTTGTCAATGAGAGCAGGTTAAATGGAATCAATAAAAGTGCGTAGTGGAGTTTCTTATTTGAATCATCACGACAAAGGTTGGATTACGAGGGTATGGGGACGTGCAGTTGAGTCACTTGGCGACACAACGCACGGCCATGGTAGATGTGTTGTAATTCAGAACCTTTACGAAGCGCCTAGCCCCCAGACATCTACATACCATGTCCATTACTGATAGAAATCAAAACTTGAAGATATAATGAGTCTATCTTGCCCCAGCCGTATTCAGTGGGATCATACGCGACATGATCAAATGCTTCCTCCCGCTTGCAAATGCTCAAAGCCAGGCGCGGTGCAAATTCGATTCCTCAGCGTGGCTCTGCGGGGTCCATACTCATATTGTGGATTAGCGCAAATAGTGTCATGAATCATCACAGGCGGAGTGCCAGAGTGGTTAATGGGTATGACTAGAAATCATATGGCTTCGGCCTCGCAGGTTCGAATCCTGTCTCCGTCGGATTTCAATTTTTGCTTCAATCGCGTTCATTGAGTTGAACAAATAAGCAAATGTTTTTTTTTATTTACCGCTCGCAATGTACTGACAATTCTTTCTTTTTTATCTCCTCATTCTTCCATATGTTGTTTCGCATCTCTCGGACCCTTCTGGTGGGGTTTCTTCTCTTCCTCATTATACTCGTAGTTTTTGATCTGGTTGCACGATATATTACCCTATACAAGTATGTTAAAATAAGCGGAAGTTGGAAAATTCATTTTTCGCTTGGAATAAGCAGTCATGTCTTATAATCACGTTTTCAGAGAATAATTACAACGTCAGCAGAAGCCCATTGATTGAGAGAATGTTGTAGCTTGTTGCTAAGGTCGTGAAGCTTGGACTTGGAAATTGAGACAATGCTTGATGTTCTCGGCCTTTTTGACGACACACTAGGTACAAGGCTTGAACAAGATAAGCTGTGCTGGAAATAATTGCTGATTGTAAAAAGATAAAATAGAGTTAGTAAATATATAAGACCATCATTCGCTGCAAGACCTATTCAAGGAATAAGAGTTCCATGTCCTCAGCTCTATTTAGCCCAAGTCCTAAGTCAACTTTCACACATCGCAAAGCCTTAGCTCTTAATAGCTACTCCCTCACTGTATTTTAGCCATGGCATAATGGATGTTTAGCATCTGCTTGAATTCTCATAGTCTTTTTATACCTAACACGTATGCTTCTATTAATTACCTCCTCCTAGTCTATAGCTGTCCCACCAAAGATTCTTATTACCACCTCTACCTCTGATAAAGAACTCCATTCCTAATCTTTGGCCTCCAAATCCCAACACCCATCAAAAAGCAAAGCCGTACAATTATCAAAACCGTGCACACCTCAACACAGTAAATACAATCAACCCCCTTCGAAACCCGTTCAAAAGGCCCTGCCAAGTGCACTGCAAAAGTCGTATCGTTTAGGCAAACGAAGTTCCAAACCAAGAGCACCACCTGAATCATACGCCACACCTTGATGTCGTCCGTGTAGTGCAGCAGCATCGCCGTCATGGCCGCCACAGTGGTCATGAGGGCAAACATTTGCTCGAGGACAAAGGCATCGCGGTGTTGTGAAGATGAACTGTTGAAGAAGATGGAGGAAGAGAAGGAGCCGTTGCGGAGATTGACGTAGCCGCTCCAGAGCATGATGAGAGGGTCGAGTTTTTGGAAGAAGAAGCGGTAGAAGATCCACATGTTTGCTGAGTTGCTTGATAAGGCAATCATGGTTGAGAGAGTTGAGGTGGTTTCTGTGGTAGGTTTGATATGAAAATTGCCTTATTTTGTTTGGCGTGATGGGCCAATTGAAGTTGACGTTTTGTGTATTCTGAAATTGATACCAGATTTTACCTACCAAGTACGGAGTACATATTCATCAATTTTTATAATCTTGTTCACTGTTGCACAGGATTTAGGCAGCCTTTCCGTCAAATTAAACGATTTCACAATCGCGAAGCCATTACGCGATCCTTTCAGGCAGCCACTCCACAGCGCTGGGGTTGGAAGAGCTGAACCAACAACAGACAAACAATGAACTGTTTCAACCCTAATCCACCGAAGAGAATCCCTGAATTGACTTTGCAATGCACTCTTATTGTGCTGCGTAGTCACACCAATGATAATTGCATATCTAATGTAGAGTGTAGTAGTAATACAGTAATTCATACATTCATCCCATTTGGAGAACAGCAGTGGCCATCTCCATGCCGTCTACAACTCACAAGAGTCTACCTCATACTTTCACTGAGGGCGTAGACGTTAATCTTGCAAGGCCTTGCTGAGCCTGCTTCACTCCCTCGGGAAACTGCATCTTGCCGCTCATCTCAATGCACTGTTCGTACTTTTTCCTCGCCAGCTCCGTCTTGCCTAGCATGGCTGCGATGTCGCCCCAGTTGCAAAGCGCAACAGCACAGGCCTCATCACATTCCGGCGTGCGATCATCGCCCTTGACGTCCTTGGCATGAACATATGCGTTCTGCGCCCAGTTAAGGCCAGCCTCGAGACATTCCTTGCGAGTCGTGGGCATGGAGGCATCAAGCAGCTCTTTCAACCCTTCAGATGGCTCCATTGTACCTGTAGCGTACAGGGGCTGCTGAGCAAACGCCGCCGCCAAGTTGTTCATAATAACCGCTCGGTGGCATGGGGTTTCGCATAAGCGGAGGGCCTGGAAGAATAGGGGGATGGCAAGCTGGAACTGATCGCGTCGCTCATAGTCTCGACCAAGTGACTCCATTGATCCGCCGAGTTCTTCAGGGCTGAGCCACTTCTCTTCTCCGGGCTTGGGCCCATCGATTTTTCGTCTGCGGAATTCCTTGAGAGAGGTTTCGACCGCCCAGACCAGATGCTCACGGGACTTGTCCGGGTTGAGCACATGCTCATCTGAGTATAATTCACCAAGTTTAACGCTTGTCGAAATTGCCTTGGAAAGCAATCTTTCTCGTTTGCGCCACAACGTCTCATTTGGCTCTGGGGGAGTGGTGGCGTCATCTTCTTGGCTGGTTTTACCATCAGAAGCTGCATTCACAGTAATAGTCTTCTGTGCGTCGCCAACATATCGCCCTTCGTTATCCACCTTGCCGTCCTTGACAGATTGCTCCATGACATCAATCCATTTCTTGCAGTCTCCAAGAACAGATTCAAGAACGTCAATGGCCGCCTTGTGGCTGTTGATCTTCTCAAGCCAGAACGCTACCTGGATCCTGATGCCCAACACTTCGTCGGAGAAAGGGTCTAGGCCAACTTCGGCACACTGCTCCATTGCCTTCTTGTAATATCTCAAAGCAAGCTCGGGATCTGGTTTGATGTTGGTGTAGTAGATAGCGCGACGTAGAGTGTTTGCGACTGGTTCGGGGTACCTGCTAAACTGCGAGTTGTAGAAAGTGTTGATGTACGCTCGAATCGCAACAGCAGAGAAGACGAAAGTGAACAACAGGCTGGGAAAACGTTAGAATATAAGAGTTTTGTATCCTGGTAATAAGAAACATACAGAAGAACATTCAGCGTGGTTACACCTGGGTTCTCGCGATATGATTGCCGGATGCCTCGAGGGCTTAGCGCAACAACGAGGTTCCGTAGACTGACTCCGAGCGCACGCCCCGCGAACTGACGAAACGTGATCTGAGGCTTCCCCTGTGCTGAATCTTTGTCTTGAGGCGTTTGAGACGTCGATTGATGCCGTTTTTGCTGGGGTCGCAGGGCCACAACAGCCCGCAGGTGGACAGTGGCAGCGGGTGATTTGACCTGGACAGAGAGCAGGCCAGTAGTGGCATGGCGGAGACATTGGCCTCGAACCGGCCTCAGCGAGGCGACTGCCGATATCGACATTGCTTCAGTGTCTGCGCATGCAAAAGAATAGCTGTAATGGGTTGAGTTGTTGTGGCTTGAAGCCTGAGGCTCGAAGCTTGAAGCTGGAAATATTTCCCCATGACGGCATCTGATAGAGTGAATCTAGAGAGCAGTTGGTCCGTGCGCTCGCGCCTCCCGTGCCGAGGAAGGTGGGGTTGGAGGGCAGAATCCCGAAGCTCAATATCATCAACAGGTATCATAGCTAAACTCTTCTATCCTTCACCTCAACCCGTGAATCTCAGCTAAAAAAAAATGTCTGGAAAATTCGAGCCCAAAGTCCCTGTCCAGCTGGACCCTCCCAAGAGCGATCCCATCTCTCTCGAGGCTCTGGCTGCTGCCAACGGTAAGTTGAATGTTTGGCGCCCACCACATCCTCGGCCGGCTGTCTACTGGAGCTGTGCCGGATTCACGGCAATATCATAATGGCAACGTGAAAATGTCACTTTTAGAGTCGTAAATCCATAGTCTCACCTCTATGGAAGGTTCATGACGGTTTATGACATCTAAATCGCCGCCGAACTCTCCATCTGCAGCACAACCTTGCTCATCATCACATGCGCTCTCGGCTAACCCGGTTCTCCAACAGGTGTTGATGGAGCAAAGACCTACGTTGCAATCAAGGTATATTCATAATATTACATCTCTAACTCCAAATTGTCACATACAGCTTACATGTAGTCTCAAAGGGCAAAGTCTATGATGTGACTGGCAACAAGGCGTATCAGCCTGGAGGCTCATACCACGGTATGTATCTTGTCTCTTCCTTGCCGCGCCCATCATAATGCTGCCTCACATAACTGTGCAAGAACTGACAGAATCAACCAGTCTTTGTTGGAAAGGATGCTTCCAGAGCACTGGGAAAGACATCAACCAAGCCCGAAGATGTCGTGCCAGAGTGGCAAGACCTCAGCGACAAGGAAAAGGGGACTCTCGAGGACTGGGTGACGTTCTTTTCCAAGCGATACAACGTAGTGGGAGTTGTCGAAGGTGCCACCAACTTATAAGCACACCGGGATGGACCTGTGGATATAGACGCGAGGCGTGGGCGCTTGGCACAGCGCATACTGTCACATACTGAGCTGAAATGCTTTGGCATGCGCCATGATTATAGCAGAATATTCTCATCATTTTCTCAAAGTACAATCCCCTGCTGCAAGTACCAAAGCTTTTTACTGTTCAACAACTACTGTAGGCATAAGTACCGTAACAGTCTCGGGATCCCCTCCCAATAAGCACCTCCACTCTTCGGGATCGCCATTTTTTTTTTTGTTGAACTCCCGCCTACCGCAGCAATGCAATAAGTTACGATGCACCGAATGAAACACCGCCGCTTATATTGTCCGCATTCAGCCATAGTATGGCATGCAGTGAGAGCAATTTACATCACAGACAGTAAGAGACCATGGGCGTCGTGGGGCTGGTCGGGTACGGGTATAGTACACTTCTGGGAATTATATGTACACTGCCCATTAAACCCACACGCCCGTATCTCATCTCCAACCACTGATAAAGAGAAGAAGAATACACACGTATATACCTTCTTAAATGTACATGCTTCCAACTGTAAATAGCACGAGAATTAGTGTATGTACAGCCATGTAAACCCTCCGTACCACGCCCTCCCCGTCAACAGGATGAGATACACTAGCATCATACACCCCCGCGGCACAACGACGAGTCGAATGAGGTGAAACATGCATAAATTTGCATCGGGCCTCCCAGACTGCAGTTCCGTAGAAAGACCAAGCGAGGATATATTGCTTTCAAGCGACGGAAGTGAAGCCGCCCAACCAAGTGTGTTACACCCCCCGTGTAACTCGCAGAGATGCCTCCTTGCATCAGAAGCAATACTATGTACTGGCTGCTCTACTGGCTCGGGGAATGATACGGAAAGGCCTACATGCTCTTGGGACGTCGTCTTCAATTTAGCGTGTCATTCAGAGTCCACCTCAACGCTGCGTACGAGTCAAGTAACTTGGCAACCAACATTGCTGTCCCTCCATGCTCTCTTGAACCTGGCCGTTTCTTTTCTTTTTCCATCCAGACAGACCCGCCATCAGCCGCAAATCCTTTGCATCCAACCATGCTTCAACAACCATGGCTCGAAAACAGGTTTATGTGCACTCCCTCAGGCCCATAACCAAGCCCCCCCCCCCCCCCCCCCCCCCCCNAGCTTGCGGTCTCAGTCGCCCGTCCCGATCCCTGTTATCCGAATCCACGGCGCAATATCGTTCACTCATCATTGAACACCCCGATGCGATACGCCCACGGGAGAGCCCTTGACAAGGCACTCATCACACGGAACTGCCTGTCGCCATGAGCTGCGGAGCACCTTGACTCCTAGGCACCCATGGTTGGGATCGTTGCGCGCAAAGTGGCAGTAGGACTTGAGCCGGACCTGGGAGTGGTTGCAGGTGAAGAGGAATTCCTCCCAGTCGCACATTATGGGCAACGATTCGAGGGAGTAAGCTGATGAATTCACGACGAGACTCTATTAGCAATGCTACAGCATCATGGGTTGGTGCTTCGTATCGTATCCTTACCACAAGATTCGGCGAGATCTTATCTGGATCAAATTGGTATTCGTTGCGAATCCTCTTATGGAGCTCGACCTGTGAGAGTATCGGAGATAAAGTCTACTCCGGTGAAGGGAAACGGGGCTTTGGGAAGCTTTTTATGTGTGAACCGTACAGGCAGAAGTCCCCGATGGCCTCTTAGATTAATGAGAATTCGCTTCCAAGTGGCAAGCATCTCTCCATGACGACTGACTCTATGATTCTCTCTATCCAGTCCAACCAACATAGAAACAAACACAGGTGCATGAGGTGGACGCAAGGAGGCAGACGCCATAGCATCATATGAGAGCATCGTACATGCGAGCACGGATGTCGTAACATTGTGTGGCTGCCCCCCTTTAGAGGCCATCTCGGGGGGAAGTGATAAGTCACATATATGTGCTCCATTCTGTGCCACGGTTGTTGTCGAATCTAGATTCTCCTAGTGGACTGTTCTCCCTAAAGTAGCAGTGCGAGTTACACGGAACGTTCAACCAACAGTCACCTACCAAGTATGAGGAGGGGGAGGAGGAAAGATGATCTCAGATCTCAGAGTGGGTGGTGCTATCAACATCATGCTGCTGTGCGCCCTCTTGGAGGAGCATGTACAAGTAGGGTTTTCAGCTGCCCAACCTCTCTCGTTTTGTTTGGTCAGGGAGCTGAAATGCGCATTAACAACCTACATGTACTATCTATCTCATCCGCACACACCTGATGTCGAGCGCTGAACACCCACCCCATATCAAATGAGAAAAAAAAAAGCAAAGAGGGAAAAAGAAACGACAGTCCGGCCATTCACCCTTCTCGGGTGTGTACAAGGAAATGTTTGTTCCCTCTTCTTGTACGTCCTATCATCTCCGCAAACACTCCATTCTGGCTGGGGTGTGTTACCTCCGTGAACCACATCCCCATGCCATGCCCGCGAATCACAACCTCGCATGTCAAGTTGGGGGCCAATGGCCAATGCAAAGCTGGCAAGACAAGGGGAATAGTCCCCGGGCGCTTACGGTGCCGTCTGAGGAAACCAACAAATTCCATTATCAACGCCTTTGCGTTAACAGCAAGGGTTGATGCCAACTGAGCGGGGGTGTTTACGAGCTTGACTTATTATCTTTGTTCTCGTTAGGGCGTGTCTTCCCGTGGGAGCGGTTTCCGGGTACCCGGATTCGCTAAAGAGAGACAAGCAAGGCCAAGTAAGCGTACTCCGTATACCAGCTGCAGTATCTGACTTGAAAATCAAAATGCCTCAAGCGCCGCGAGTGTTTGTGATGAGATTCCTGCCTGAATGAAGCATATCCGTGATAGGGTTTTCGGGCTCAAATCCCGACTTGGCAACGAACCCATGGTCCAATCCACCCTTGTGCTGGTTTTTGGAGCACAAAAATGACCGAGCTCACAACGGGGCCCTGGGAAGTTTCATTTCAACTTCCTGGTAAAGGATCACTGAGGAGTTGAGAAGCCTGAGACAATTTCACGAAATAAAACAGGATTTGTCTATTTTCATGTTGGCCCCCATCTTGTTGCAGCCGGCATCCTTCCGCGACCAACCGGGAGTTTGAAAGAATCCCCGCCGGAAATTGATATGTGATGCGAGTTTTGCATTATTTCCAGTAAGTGTTTTTAAGCTGAATTTGTGCAACTCGCTAGAAGTATGCGAACCGAGCTGAAAGGAAGACTGACACTCTCAAACATTTGTTTACTAGGTGCCCGACCAGCTCTTGTCAATAAATATTTGACCAATTTTGAAGTCGAGGTTTACAGAAAGTTTTATATGCATTTCATATTCCGCTGAAATAGTCATACTTGAAGCGATGTGAGCTTTGTGTAGCTGAATATATACATTGGTGGTGCATGACGAGTTGAGTCTTGACATTGAATAACTATACACACTAAGGTACGATTGCTTTCTATTCTCCCTTGCATGACGAAGAAAAATTCAGAAATTGAGATGTCCTTATTGGAGCTATAACTGAAGACCGCTTCCCCAACTTGAAGACCATGTAAGTCAATCTAGAAACAAAATTAATAATAAAGTAAATGAACCTAAAATTTGTTTCTGAATGTAAGTATAGTTTCTTTATTAATTATATTTAAATACTGAAGAGGTCCTATCACAATATCTTGTTAATGCTATGCAGTTGATAGATGGTTCACGTATAGATTTTCTCAAAGATAGTTCGAGTCTCTTATGTACATAGTAAGTGTTGAAATGTATGTTAATTGGCCTTAGTCTATTGCTCTAGCCTACTGGGAGGAGACCTCCTACTTATGCCTATGGCCCGGACTGACCCCTGTTCGACCAAGTACCGCTACCTAATAAGTCGGTGCCCCTATTTTCAACAGTAAGCACCGTGTGAGATGCATATAGGTTTTCCATAGTTATCAAAGAAAACGTCTTGAAACTTATTTGTTAGTTAATTATTTTGAATGTTAATATGTACCTGTCACCGACGGTCAAGAGTTATCATTAGTACATCTCTAATACTCACTCACCTGTCCCTTTACTTACCATCCATCTGACGCTATCCGTGAGATTCTAGCTAAAAATAACTACAAGTTCGTTTCATTCAGTGTTGAGTTCTTGTTCAGACAATAATTATTGACCGAAATGTTAGTTTGTTAGTGTATGGATTTTCACCAAATACCTGGTTCAAATGCGCTGCTCTTCTACTGCATTTTTGCCAACAATACGAAAACCCCATTCGCATTGCAAATACGTCTTGATGTTACATGCAGATGGTCCCTCTTTCGATAATGTTTCTTTGTGATAGCAGATGTTTATGGAATATTGATGAGATTTATATGGGAATAATACGAGGACTTTTACTATCGGAGGGTAATTTTTTTTCCCTTGGCATTTGATGTAAATACTGCAGTATCCATCAAATTCTAAATGTCAAATCGAATGAAAGGAGAATAAAGGAGCGCCCAGTCTTCATTTTACTAGCCAGGGCAGCCTCACAACACTCCTGTGCTTCTTAGTCGGCCTCTCCTCTTATCATTGATTTAACCGATCGCAAGGGCCGCACAGCTCTCGCTTATGCCGCTTCAAAAGGCTATGTCAACGTCGTAAAGCTTTTACTTTGTAAGAAAGCAAATGCTAACAGGAGAAAGTTTAAGCTCTTTATATCCTTTGAGACTTAAACCTTGCCTTTTCCTGTCACACGGCTCTCGCTCGCGCTGCTTTGAATATATGAATATTCGTTGTTAAGCTCTTGCTGAGTGAGAAAAGCCAGAGAAAGCCGGAGCTTGGCATTTAGCCTTAATAGGAAGCTTCTTGTTAAATCGTATCGATACCTCCTAGATAGGCATTGTACCTATGTTTCTACTGCGGAATTGGTAAGGAACTGTGCCGGTCTATTCTGTGCGTCTGCGAAATCGCAGACGGCACTCTTACCTATTGCTACTCCCGTCTCTCGCAAGGCCTTAAGTTGACAGCATCTTCACACAGAAATACCCAAATCAGCCAGCGATTTCGCCTACAGCCGGCTCTCAAATGCAAGAGGAAGAAAAAAAAGGCAAACATTTGCCTTTTGAGGAAAACCGGGGCACGATGCCTCAGCTTATGCGACAACAGGCGACAATAAGGCCACGAAATCCATGCAGCTGCAAATCATCAAACAGGCGACGTGGACGTGCGACAAGCGATACAAGACCGATGGCGGTGTTAATTGGGCCGGCACAAACGAGTTGAGCGGAATTTGCCGTGAGATGCGACACGGGCCGTGGATTCATGGCTGTGCTAGCAATGACACCTGCACGACATGCCACCAGCTTTGCGACAGCCGGCTTCGGCCCATTTCTGCAAATCTATGGGTGAAGGACAGGGGAATCGAAGAGTCGCAAAGAAACTCGGAACTGCAAGACTCAGGATGAGTGAGCGATCCGGCAGCTTGGGCGCCGATTGCTATAAAAAATGCAACGGCATTATCAGCAATAAATTGGGGGCGGTGTCTCGGCAGCACAAAATTGTTGGGTTTTCGGTCTTGGGTCGCGCGCTCGTGACATTTTGCGTGGTTGCCTTGCGAGGGATCCGGACGCCTTGTTTGCTAGTCGCAGTTGCCTTGTTTGCCTTGTTGTCGAGAGCAGACAGCTGCGGTTCTTGAGCCGTCGCGGGCAGTCGCGCGCCGATCTGATTGGACTAATCGCGACGAAGAGCCCCTGCGCTTGCGTCTTGCATGTCTGACCGAGCATGTGCAGAAACAGTCAAAAGTGAGGCGAGACGAGTCGGAAATCCCATCGTCATCACCACCATCGTCGGCCTCATCATGCACAACTGCGACCCCTGGATCTAATCCCCAGCAACCGTGGCAGCATTGGTCGAATCCGGGACGACAAGCAGCGGGAAGAGATCCGGACTGGCCGACAGCCACACAGGCGGCCAATTAATTACCGGCCTCGAGCACGATCTTTTTCCATCGCGGAAGTTGACGACGGGTCTTTGCTTGCTGTACCGTCACCTACCATAATTAGGGCCGTTGCCTTACCGCTGCGTCTAGTTGCCTCGTTTCTGAGCGCTGTTATTTCTTCGCCCGAATTTCAAGGACAGCACAGCACAGCACAAACCTCGGCGGCGATGCTTGCCTCGACCCGGCGCCCGTCTGCTCGTTAATGCTGCCCAGCCCGTACGGGTGTGTGCCTCGACGCTCATTCTCGCCCTCGTCTCTCCCACTTGTTACTCGGTGTTACGTTTAACCCCAATCATCGAGCCCAGGAGTGTCTGCAGACCGACTTTACTTTGACTCCCGATGATCCTCTACCCCCTCTCGCTGTCGCACTGTCTGTGCTAACCCCGCCGTTTCTTTTTTCCAACGGACGGACGATATTAACCAAGCCGCCCAACAACACGGCGCAGCTGGGCTTTCGTCTATACCCACTGCCGGGACTATAACTCGTCTCTACTCCCACGGAGCTTGCCCTGGCAACAGGAGGCCTACGCTACCTAGATAGGCTGTGCGCGACCACACAAGATAGACAAACAGTCTTTAGCCCAACATGAATCGGGATTCTCAATTCCACAGCTCCAACTCTCAGGAGCCATACAACATCTTCCAATTTTATAACACAGATGGTCCCTGGATTCCTCCGGGTGTCATCCAGCCAGCAGACACGCTAAATTCCTCATCTCGTCCGTCTGCTTATAATAGCGGAGCGCCCAGCTTTCACGGTTACAGGAGCACTGGCTTGCCCTCTGATTGCGGCACCGCTCCAGACGACTCCGGCTATGGAGGTACTCGTTCAGCATATAGCTACGCTGAGAGCGTCGCGGGGAATGACCGGTGTGCGGAAAACGCCTACCTAGAGGCTCCGGCAGAGATGATTGGCGACTTGACCATCAACCCGATGTATCCGCCATCTCAAATGCAACATCATCAAGCTGCCACTGTAGAATTCCTATGTAACCACTGTGGTCAATCTTGCAAGACGAAATCGGAGCTCAAGTATGTCTCATATAGAGGAAGAAATGATGTCTGCCTCCATTCTCATGATGTCCAGCTGCTAATAAAACGAAGGAAGCACAGCGCCAGACATGAAAAACCATACAAATGCACCTACGAAACTTGTTCCAAGGCTAAACAGGGGTTCAGTACGCCCAACGACCTAGCTAGACACAAGAAAACTGTCCATCGCGAGCACAATGAGAACGACCCTATTTATATCTGCCACCATGGCGGCTGTTCTAGAAAGAAGGAAAAGCTATGGCCAAGAGCTGACAACTTCCGGAGTCATCTGTCCCGTTCTCATAACATAAATCTCAAAGCAGACAGTGATCTTGGAGAATACCGCCACAAGTATGTGCTTTTATTTTGTAGATTTATATCATCATATCTGATGCAGGCTGCATACTAAAGTTTTGTTGAACAGACCGAATACGGCAAAGCCACTTGGAATCCAAGACAAGACACGATCAACTGCTCATGTAAACCCCGGACATCGACCGATGCGGCTGCAAGACGCCCCTCCTGTATATACGTGCCCTCATCATACGTGCCCCCAAGCAAAAAGGAAGACGTGGCCAACAGCCGACGACCTTCGGGCTCATTTATCTCATGACCATAACTTACAGCTTGACGATGATCTCAAGGGTTACCACTTCCAGTATGTGCACATATCCCAAGTTGCAGTAAGTGCAGACTGGCGACTAAGACGTTCCAAATAGATTAGGAGCAACAGAGGCGCACACTCTTCGAGGTGTTGGATCCTCAATCGCTGATGTTGACCCGGAGCCCCGACCGGCGCAACTGCAGGATTCTCCTGACTTGCGGGGCGACCAAGTTTCAACAACTGCCTCGGGTCAGGTACAAAACGAATCCTCAAAGCAAAGTGACCTGCCACTAACCCAGACGTGTCTGACAAGCGGGGATAGACCGCCGCAGATGCGGTCAAGTATCTTAGATGCCCTGAAAATGTCATCAGTCCCTGGCTCTGACACTCTTGCCAGCCAACCTATCGTTGATTTGACATGTGCAGATGACGTTTCTCTTGGAGAGTCCGAAGCTATGCTGCCTCACGATGAAGTAACGCCAGAACCATTTGATCATGAAGGAGATGATATCATTGAAGATGAAGAAACACTCGATCGCCAAGAACCCGTGATGCTTCAGATTACTTCACCCACCGCATCAGTTCAGCTCAAGGCTGACAGTCCTCAAGATGGGATCACCCAGTCCCTAATTGCAACACAGACGCCTAGTCAGGTTCTTGAAGCATCCACAGAGGCGCCACCAGCCGACACGCCCACTTTCGAACCATATAAGGCTTCGGGGCTGTTCCCTCTTCTCGAAAATGTTCCGACGGGACAAATTCTCTCGTTTCTCAGAAACAACATCCCCAAAGATCTACTAGAGAAGGCCCTAAAGCCTGAGGACCCATCGGCAAGTGGGAATGATGATTCGAGTGATCCAGGGGAGCACCAGAAAGCAGAGATAATCTGTCCAGAGTGTAGGAAAGCTTTTTATCGAAATTGCGAACTTAGGTAACATCATCTCCCACCCTGATTCATTATCGCTTCCATGGACGCACAACTCATACGAAATTTTAGGAAGCATATGAAACGACATGACAAGCCCTACGGGTGTACCTACAAAACGTGTTGCAAGAAGTTTGGCAGCAAGAATGACTGGAAAAGACACGAGAGTAGCCAGCATTTCCAGCTCGAATCCTGGAACTGTAATTTGGACGGCTGTGACAAAGTGCTGCCTCGTCGAGAGCTATTCAAATGGCATCTCATCAATCATCACAAGGTACAAGACAGCCAAAAGATCGACAAATTGCAGGAGGAGCGCAGACTGGGTCGACACTGTGATCCACGCTTCTGGTGCGGGTTCTGTGATAAATTCGTTGAGATCACGGGAGAGGTTGTCAACTCCTGGACCAAGAGGTGCGACCACATTGATAGCCACTTGTTTGGCAAAGACGGGCTGGAGAAGAAAAACATGCTCCAGTGGCACTACCTTGAAGATAAATTGGCAGAGGGAGAACCTGAAGCAAAAGTGGCAGAGAGTTCATCGAAAGCCAGCAAGAAGCGGAAGGCTACAGAGGATGTGAGCTCGCGTCCAGCCAAGAGAACCAACATTAGTTGGATTTGTGTAAGTCACGATGAGCTGATTCCACTGGAGAACTTTGTATATCTAACGTGATGAGCAGCACAACTGTGACCATCTGGAAAGCTGGCACATAAGTGGTTCTTGTCAAGAGTGCCAACACCAGCGCTGTGATCATTGTAGAATAGAGGCAACTGAAGTGCCAGATGACGACGATACTGAGATGGTGAATATGAACTAAGGGGGTAGTGTAAACAAGGGGAGGACTGGAGGCGGTGCCCAGCCATCAGGCTGCGAGTGTTCCCATGCCTTTTCCAGATGTTGAGATAAGGTTGGCATTGGTCCAGCCGCGCAAAGCGTACAAAGGAGGCTGATGGCGATGGAGATTGACGAAGCGTTGGAGGGGGCAGTACATTTAGCGTCATGTCTAAGGATGATGGTCGTACGAGGGGCATTGATCGGGCCGGCTTGACTGTGCTTTGGATAAAATAATATGTTGTGTTTTGTGCATCAAAGTAATAAAAGTCGATGGGAAGCAATTGTGCTTGAGGCGCAGTCAATTCTTGGGTGCCTGTGGGATAAGCGCCGTCACTGCGTGTTACCGATAACACGAGAAAATTAGACGCCAGACCGAATTCCACCAAGTACATGTACCACGCTGTACATGCATAGCCCGCGAAGTGAACATATGAGTACCTAGGAAGAAGATAAGAGCTGGGGCTGGAAAGAAAAAAAAGAAAGAAAGAAAAAGGCAACCTGATGCCTGCAGTCTTGGCACCCAGCACGCGGGCTGCCTTGCTTGGGCCTCGACTTGGAACCCTGGAGAGGCAAAGAGGCTTCTCTCTACGGCGGACGCCTTTTTCTTCTGCTTTCTGCTCTTCTGTCTCGGGGTGAGACATTTGACGTAAGCCCCTCACTTTAGGACCTTTCGCTAGTGTTGTTTCCCCCCCTAATGCACGGGAAGTGTTGGCGAAAACAACAAAACTGAAGAAAAAAAACAGACTAAAAAGAACTACAGGACTAAGAGCAAAGGAAAGGCGGCAAAGCGAAGATGAGTCCCGACGGAACCCGGCAGAAAGGGAAAAGGGCCAGGGGGGCGCGCTTATAGCAAAGGTTACTGTTTTGGGTCAGGATATCCGTTGCGTTTGCATTGCAGTGTGTATTATTAGGTAGTGTTCTAATATTCAGCCGTGTCTTAATATTAGGGAGACACTTTTACAGCGAGTAGAATTTGTCATCGTCGTGCAAATCTGCTGTGCAGTAAAAAGGGCAAAACGGGACGATATCAAAAAAGGCAAATGGGCAAAAAGGCGAGCAGAGACGCCCGCATGCACGGTACCAACCCAGGTTTCAAGGCAGGGAGAAGGCAGGAGAAAAAAAAAACACGGCTGTACCTAGAATGAAATCTGGATTATGCAGCCGGGCCGCCGACTGAGACATGACTTGTGCTTTTTTTTTTTTTTTTGTCCTTTTGGCCCTTCCCGCCTCAACTTGGTAAGTCGGAGTATGGTTGTATTTTGGCCCGAAGCCCAGGCTGATACCGCGTGGAGTCGGCAAGATGCACAAAAGGCAGAGAGGGTTGAGTGTTACCCAAGATGTTTTAAAAAAGAAAACGAAAAATGGATACGACAGATAACAAATTACTTACCTGGTAGTTACTTGCATGTAGTACTCGTACTTCCGTATATTCCGTCCAATTCCTTTTTTTAGATTCCGTCCGAAATGGGCAGTGCAGAGTGTCTAGTTCTTTGCTTTCAATCCCTTCTAGAAGAAAATGCTTGGGTTTCATTCTTGTCGGGTATCGCTCTGCTTGGTGTGTATAAAGATAGAAAATACCACCCAGCAATCCATTTGCCGGATGACAGAACAGGAAGGAGGCAAGCTATAAGGGGAATGCTCGCGAGAGAGGCAAAGAAGAGAAACGCTGCATATGGTTGTTGGTTGTTGCTGTTATGCAGTGAGTGTGACACTCGCTGCATTAGCCGGCATCTCCATATTAACATGGTCCGGATGGGTGAAGGGTGCCGCTTTTTGGGGTAGCTTTGGGGATGGGGAAAATGAGGCAAAGAGGGCTGTGTAAAACAAGAGATTGAGTAGGAAAAAAGAGGCGCAAATGCTACTGCAAGACTGCACGCGGCTACAATCTAAATCTGAGATATGAGAAGATATACAGTAGGCGACACAAAGAAAGAGTGAGCGAAGGGGGGAAAGGGGGGGGTGGAAAGAAGGGGGGGTTGAGAAGCGCGAATCGAATAAGCGCCGCCGTATATACTCGACGGCGTTGTGCATGAGTCTGGTGCTAGCAATGCATCCGTAGCGGTGGTATGTGTAGATGGAGAGAGGCAGAGCGAAGGAGACAACAAGCAAAGGACTGTACTCCGTAGTTTCGATCGAGGTGTGCCGATTTGGGCCTATAGGAGGGCGGATAGAATACTGTACTGTACATGAAGGAGGGGCGTGCCAGATTATCCTCCTCTCTTGCGTTGTTCAGTTGTTCAGCTGAAGTTGGAGAAAATGGCTTAGTAGAAAAAGAACCAGCCAGATGGTGGGAAAAGACCAGCATGCCAGGGTTCAAGGGTGGGATGCAGGCGACAAGGAGCGAGTACCACTCGGTATGATGTGATGCATGCATGACCATGACTTGACCGGTGCGGTGGCCTAGCGCATTAGAGCAGTCAAAATACGGCAAGATGAGACGAGACGAGACGAGGTGGGAGGCCGGGAATTGGAAGCACGGTACTGTACAGTATGATGCTGGAGTGGGGATGTCATGTATGTCGGTACGAAGCAGCCTGTGAGAGATGCTGCTGTGAATCTCAAATACTCGAGCCCAGGCAGCAGGCCAAAGGCTACTCTCGGTGGGTTGGGGGCCGCAACACGGTGCCTTGAGTGGGTTCCAAGATGCCCTGCTTCGATAGATTGTCACGCTCGACCGGGATGCTCACGATAGGGTCTTCAGAGCTGAGAGGCAGATTCACCACGTCCGGGGACGATGGCTACCTATGGGATGCCAGAATAGAAAGAAGGCAGCATCTTGGCGGCCAGCTTGGTGCTTGGTTCCCCCAAAGTGGCTTCATGTTTCGCCCCCAAAGTGGCTTCAATGAGCGCCAGACACGGAGGAAATCCGAAACAGTGGGAGTACATGTTTGAGGAGGACGATGAAGAGATGAAACAGAAAGATGGGATGAATGGCTGAGGCGCTCGCGGGGCGGTTTCGGGGCACCTCCATCCCATCAGCTTTGCGAGACATACGATTCCTTCCAGGACCAACAGCATAGGAAGAGGTACATGCCCGTTGATGGGCCAGGACACTTAGTACTTGGGTCGAGAGACAGGTGAGCAAGATACGTGTGCCTGTATGTGTGCCTATCGCACCGCAACGCTAGGGTCTCAACAATGGGCCTGCTTCGTGTCGTATTCTTGCCTTGTCTTGCCTTGCCTCACCGTGCCTCGCATTGTCTTCTGTTCTTGGTGTTTCGCTCAAAAGGCAACTGTTGGGGCCGTTTTGCCTGTCGGCCGCAAAAGAGGAGCAAGCACCGGAAATATCACACCAATGGCCCGAGAGTACCGGCATCGTATATACAGCAGCACAATTGCGTGCTGGAAAAAGAAAAATAGCGGCGCTTGGGATTATTTCACTTGATGCATCGTATGGCTGCGTCGAGGCCGAGCAGCTGCGGCAAGCGACAGTGACATGGCCCATGCCAGGAGAGCGACCCGGGACGCTGGCGTTGAAGCCCAGTACCTGGTAACAGTTAGCAAAGCGGTGCCAGGCCGGATAGGATGTTGCTCTTCTCCGGAAAAGCACCAGCTCGCAAAGACCTGGTCGATATCACCTGTGCTGTACTTGAAGCCGGGCCAACACGCATAATTCCCTGGATGGGGTGGGCACGTGGGCTATTGGAGCAAAGAGGAAGGGGGTGCGATTATACATGTATACATGTACATATGTAGGCAAGCCCCGATCGTCTTGTGGCTACGGCCAGAAAGAGTGAGCTGCATTAGTACGGAACGACCAGGATGACTATCACGACAGGGGGCTACTACCCCTGTCGTTAAGGAAACCGGCGAGAAGACCTGGCTTTCTGTGCGTGTTGGGCGAGAGTGAACGATGGAAATGTGCCTTTCTCGCTGCCGTTCAATTAGCCCGCGGCATAGCGAGGTGCGTTCGTCATCCAGTGCCGTCAAGTTGGAGTTTGTGTTTAGGCAGTGAGGAACGCCAGGGCACAACGTTACGCTTCCCCCGAGGCCCCTGCCCACCTGTCGATGGGGATTGGCAGATCTTGACAACTGAGGAAGACGGAATGCCGTGACGATTTGCAGCTGCTAGGATAAATCTTGGGTTGGCGATTTGCCAGTCGATTTCGATGGTCCTTCGGGATGGAGGGGTGGAGGGGGGAAGATATGACGAGTGTGGAGGTATCACAGCGTCGGGGGGGCTGTGGAGAGTTCAGCTTCAGGGTTGTTGTCACTCATGGGAATGCCTCTCATTCGAACGCCTCACTCGTGGCCCCAGGAAGCCATTTGCGGCTTCCACGTCGACCCAGGCGCTTCGTCGGACATATTGAATCCTATCCTGGTGAAGCTTGACGCCAATGCCATGTCGAACCGAGGCCAGAAGTTCCTCGGGGCTTGAAAATTGCAAAGACTTAACAGGATAAGCATCTTGGTGCGTGAAAAGTGACCACGTCCGTGACCGCGTCCATGCGACGGCTCTGCCGCTCGCTGACGCACACGGAGATGGGCGGCGAGACAAAGATGCAATCGGGCACTCATCCGTACCTAAGCAGCAGAATGAGCTACTGTACGGCACTGTATATTACCTGTACACCATCATGTACTCGCACTCTCAGGTCGCGCCAGCGGATAGTTGCCAGACTCCGGTTGATTGCAAATCGACGACCGCCGCAACAATTTGGAAAAGCGACAACTCGCCCCTTGTAAGTGGACCGGACACTCTTGCAAAACACCAGAAACTGGGACAAAGCAAAAGCAGGGGCGGCGAGCTGGCGTTTCCCCTGCCAGCTGACTATGTGACTCCCGGCCATTGCCCTAAGGAGGTATGACAGGCACTTGGTCAGTGTTGGAGCAGCGAATTTCAAATTCAATGCCACGGGGAAGAACAAACCAAGACGCCGCTCCGATACCCTTGAAAAGTTTAACATGTGCCGGCCATGGCTGTCGGAGTGGACCCTGACTTTGAGCTTTGATCTTCAATTCAATTTCCTTCGTCCCCCTGGTTGTGTCTTTTTTGTCTCTGCCTGGCTCAGGTTCAGACAGATGACAGGTCCGAAAAGGGGGGGTGGTTGAAGTTGACATTGGCAGCAAGGCCAGTCATGTGCTCGTCTGTCTCAGTGACAGGCAAGAACTTCCCGCGTCGTCATTGGCGCCCTAAGCGAAGAAGCTGAAAAAAGATCAATATGTTTCCGTGCTGGGGGGCAGATCTCATTTGCATGTAAATTGTGAGCCCGTATATGTGCATAGATACATAACATGGGAGGACCCATGGCGCCTTCCCCCCGAAGGTGCAAGTTGGCCGATGCTTCAAGTGGCATCAAGGTGGAAAGAGCATCTCCGCATCGGCCGATGCCAAAGCCCGATGTGATTAACGAGGCAAGAGCTCGTATCTTGTCCTGTATTCTGTCTTTTCTTTTTTAGGGGACCAAAGCAGGGAGGCAGTAGCACCCCAGGAGCTGTCGTGGTTCAGAGGGGCAGGGACCAGCCAACTCCGTGGCATATCAAATCAAGCACCTGGCCGGGACTTTGAATCTGACGATGATTATCCGGATAACTGGAAGTACAGGTACGGGGGTTTTCTGCTTTGGGATGGATCTCATCGGGAGATACGAAGTACGAGGCAGTGGAAGCAGCACCAGCCACAGCTACAGGAAACCCATCGCAAGCTGTACCCAGGGGGGTTCCCTGCCAGCCCTATCTATACTGCCGACGACTGACGGCGGAACAGGAACAGCTACATGGCGAGTACTCGTACGATCAGCATTGGGGGGAGCAGCAAATGAGCGGCTTAGTGGTAGCACATGGGGCACAAGAGACAAAGCAGCGGAGTACGGAGTCATGGTGGCACTGCAACCAAGAGGGGGAGGGTGGCAGCAACTCGGGCTAGTTTAAAGAGTAAGACGAGCCACCAGTGCGGGTAGGGCTGGGTTTTTGTTCCGAGGATTGGCATTTGCTGACGGGGTCCTTTTGGGCATGGGATTCTCTGCTAAAAAACTAAAAAGCTGCTGACTGAGCCGTGGCTTAGATCAACGTGACTTTGACGTGGGAGTAGAAATGCCGCCGAGGACTTGACATGAAGTCAAAATACAGGTATGTGGACTGGACGGGCTGTCAGCTATTAGCACCAGACGCCACAACAAGGGCTGGTCCTAGTGTTATCGACGGATGGCCTGTTGACGTTGACAGCTGCGGAGATGTGGCAGACTAGAAAAGGTCGTGGCTTGAATGGAAGCTTCCAGGTCGTCTCAGTTCCATTCCTTGCTTGCGCCGTCTTGGATCATGGATGGTTTGTTCCTCCACTTGCACAGTACGTGTAAGCTCGGTTCACGAAGTTCAGTGTAGATTCAAGGGCTGCCTGGACACTGTGGTGCACAAAGCTGACCTCAATCTGCCCGGCAATGCTCCATGTGGAACTTTATGTTTGTAGGATTGGAGAGAAAGGGGCAAATTTAACTGCATTCAACGGCTCAGGACTCCATGATTTGGAGGTCCTTGGACAATCTATCTGGAGCAGAGAGTGGGGTTGCAAGTTGGGGGTTGCTAAAGGCGGGAGACGTGTGTGTACAAGAACTCTGATGAGTTGAATCCCAATGGACGGATATATGGATAGATGGATATCATGTAGGGGGAAAATAAGCCGAAAGAGCATCGTCCTGTGCTCATCATTTGCCATAACGCACAGTAACGAATGCTATGCAGCAGTGCTAGCATCGTACAAGGCAAGCAATCTAATTTTTTTTTTTTTTTTTTTGCTTCCAGGTCTTCGGTTTCCCCTTCCATGTTCTGTTGCAGCTCCAATGCCTGTCTCCAGCTGCTCGTCGCATCCAATATTACAACGTCTCGTCAGCACTCTATTCATCGCCTGTGCTCGTATTCAATTAATTCCATAGACCCATCAATCGCTCCAAACAGCTCCGTAGCGGCGGTTCTGTCCCCAAACGGCGCGCACTGGCCTGGCCCCCCCGCCGCCGCGCTCAGGGACAGCCCCGGGGAGCCATTCATCGATATCCGGCGCCCCTCCCATCGATCCACAGGCAGCGCTTGAACGGCCCTAAGCGCATCGCTAGGGATTCAAGGTTCCAATGATGGAGTTGAGCGCGTGGGGTCCAGCGACGATTTGGTCAGCACTTGAAGCTAGAAAGGATTGCACTAGAATGAGTGTGTACGAGGACGTGGGATGGAGGGGTTTTGATAGGTTGATGCGGAGAGATGGGATTGGGATGGGGATCGGGGATTGGGGAGACTGGGCCAAAAAGAGATTTGAGGCCACGGAGCTGCCGATGATGGGCTGAAGGGCATCTGCAGGTTGGCCTGCAGCATCGTCGGCGAGTCAGGCAGACATTGCAGCAGGGACGTTGCTGATACGCTCAAATTTCTCTTTCTCGCCGATCTGGGAGGTGGAGGGGGGCCGAAGAAGGAGAAGAAGAAGAAGAAGAAGCTTGGGTGACTTCATGCGATAGTAACATGAAATGTATACTGTACGGTGCAGTGTAGCCGGTGCAGCGGCAGGTTTGGCTGGATACGGGAGGTTTGGGGTTACATGATGGTTGGGACACATGGAGGTATCAAGAACAGCTGCTTACGTTGTGTGAAAGGTTAGTAGCATCGCCATCATCATCATCATCATCATCATCATCATCATCATCATCACGGAAACGCCATAGATTTGATGCACAGGTGTGGCTTCAGGGTATTCAGCTCCAGTGCTGCTATACAATGATGCAACATAGAGGCGGCAAACCGACATACGAGTAGACCACAAACAAAGGAAGAAGAAGAAAAAGGGCGTCATCGTCATAGTCGTCATTGCAGGGTCTCGCAATGCCACTTGCCAAGAACCCTGCGACACCGCCACGATTGCATCGAAAAAAGGAAAGACTCGAGAAAAAGGGAAAGAAACCATCATCATCACCATCATCACCATCCAAAAAACCACCTGTAACAAAAGCAATCTCGGCGCTCCGGGTGGATGGCCACCAGACCGCAACAACGAAGATGACAGGACAGGCAGCAAGAAAAGGCGCCACTCACGGCCACGCCTAGTGCCACAGGCAATACTGCACCTGATGTGTGATGCGACCACCGGCCGTCTTTCTTGCAGCTGGCCAAATCTCATCTTGCTGCACGACGAAATTCTGGTTGAGTATTCTCACTCCGCTCATTCTACGCCTGTAATTTTCGATCCCATACGCAAAGAGCGGAGCGCCGGTCTTTGTTGCCCAACCAGAAAAGCGGAACACACAAGCTCGATCTCTGCCCCTCCATCAGCTAGGTTGCTTTTTGTTCCTCTCTCTCTCATATTGCTGCACCTCTTTTTCGTTTTTGCGTCTTACAGCCCTCTTTTCTCTTACACTTCAGCGCGCCAGGGGTATTTGTTTCTTCGCAGCTGTCGTGTTTCTTACCCACCCTCTCGGACGCAGGTGCTCAGGCCAGAGGCATAGAGAGACAGAGAGAGAGATGTTGATGCTGTGCTTGATGCCATCATTTCGCAGCGGCGATGCTACCGGTGATGCTACCTTGAAGCTTTGATACTGTGCAACTGGTTAATCCAAGCCAATGTACATACACAGTCTAGTGATGCTACTGCTGCCTGTATCCAGTCCGGATGCTGGTCAGACGCAGCAGCAGCACATGTGCCCTGACTCATTCGCTCCCCCCTCCAAACGCAAACCTGACTGCGTGCTCTCTACCGTACATACGGTGCAGCACTCGTACATGGCATGGAGGTTTGCCGACGACGACATCATTCAAGGTCCCTTCTGATGCCCCCGTCCCAGATGCCCCATCTTGTGCTAGTGACGACGATGCGCGCACGCACCGCTCCCAGCTCGCCTCCATGTCTTGGTCCCTGCTCCCGTACATGCCCCCACACCGGTCAAGGCCGCTAGAGGTTGATAGACTTAGGTTGGGTGAGTCGACTAGGAGCTCGGAGAGAGCAAAACCAAAAAAAAAGTTTTTTTCAAGGTTCAAGGGCAGGGGTTCCGTTCGGTGCAAGTTCGCGCGCGTCGGGCTGAAGCGATGGCCCCATTGGGGGTTCTCGCTCACTCTCGCATGTGCCCCGGTCAATGGGAGTTCAGTGGGGAGATGAGATTTGCCGTTTGGACCGGTCGGGTATGTACTGGTAGGGCTAAGCATGAGCTGTCTAGTACGAGGACTCACTCATGCGAGGACTTGGCTGCTGCAATGCTCGATGGTGATGGTGCTAAGAAGGAGACTATTGGTTTTGTTGGCGGCCTGTAGCGCTGAAAGGGCATCCATGGTTTGGTCTATTTCGATCAGCCACCTCGATTAAGACCCTGTGAGCATCAATGCATTGATCATTCACGGATGGAATTGACAGCCATGGATGAGCCAGCTGGAGTGCAAATAGGGGCTGGTCACATCAAGTACAAAGTGAGCACTCAACTTTGCTTGTGCTACCGAACACCTGGGAGTGGGGCACCGCTACAAGTTACAGCGCTGTAGAGCCCTGGACTGCACTGTAGAGTATGGATTAGCGGGTGCGCATCTGCTCTCCACTGTCTCTCTCCTGTCTCTCTCTCTCTCTCTCTGCCTCTTTGCCTTGCCCCATCTCCAACCAACCTTTCTCCAAACTCGGCCGCGTCTCCCCTTCGACGTTCCTTTTTTTGCACGGGCTAAACCAACATTGAAAGTACTAATCCGGGGGCTAAAACTCGACGGGGCCCCTTGTTTCTTCTCCCGCCGCCGCTAAGCAACTGGCATGCGCACTACCACAAGGGCTACCAAAGTGCTATCTAGCCAGAGGGGGGTCCGAATTCTGGAGCAGAGAGACATGGAGAGGATCATCAGACTTTTGGCGCAAGCGCTTGTCCAATGGCCGACATGATGGCGCCTCGCCTGCGACTGGCCGCTCCATGCTATGATCCATCAAACGATGCCAGGCCAGGCCCCCTCCAGTTCTAGCTCCGAGTTCCAAACGCCAGCCGGCCAGCTTTCGGCCACCACCTGCTCCACCGCTGATGGCCTGCTATTGATGCTATTCTTTGCTCTTCATGCTGTTCTGTGAGGCGAGGCGGTAGCATCATGTATGATGTATGTGTAGGTATGATGTAGAGGCTGCATATGCCTTGTGTGTCTGCCTGCTAGCCAATGCCTTTGTGCTCTTGTGCCAGGACATGATGCAACTGTCGGTTGGTCCCAGCACAAAGCAGTGCGTGCCGCTGCTTCACATTTTGATGTCCATCATTAGTGCCTACAGGTATTATAATCATTGATGGATTTAGAAATGTCGAAGCAACACGCGCACTCTAGCTAATGCTTGCTTTTTAGGCGATCCAACACGCACACGAACACACATACACATCTAGTCTCGACGGCTTCAACGTCCACGTTAACCAACAACACAATGCCGCTGAAGAACGCACGGCTTTCCGTCATCCGGCAGATAGTGTTGACCAGCAGGCTAAGCCAGTTTGGTTCCGCGCAGCACAAGATTGGCCTGAACCTTTCCACGACAAATCCCATGGGCGGGTACGACGACCGCGGAACCTGAACCCAGATCGACTCGCTGCCAAAGCCCCCATCTTCCATCTGCAGATGCAACCTACGAGTACGCTTCGCCCCCGGCTGCGCCCAAGCAATCCGCACCAGACATCGTCACCATGGGCGTGTGTCGAATCTCGGACAGACAGACACCAGCGCCATGCCGCATCTGGGCGCCATGTCCACCAAGGAGCCGCAGCCGCACCTGCGAGTAGGTACTAAGCCCAGCCGGGGGGCGTGTGCGAGCGAAGGGAGTGTGTCAATCCTACCCAATCCAATGCATCTACTATCTATCCATGGATGCTCTGCTCTTGGTCTGTGAGGCTCTGTATGCTGTATGTCTCTCGTCGTCCGGCGTAGCACTTACCTCTACTAACAACGAACTAATTTGGCGATGGATCTTGGTCCGATCCATAAGGTACATATAACAGGCCTCGAGGTCCCATCCTCTTGGGGCCTTGGATCATCTCTCCATCTTCCTCCTGACCACATCAGTATTTATTCAACAGCCAGATTCACCTTGCACTATTTCCCATTACTCCCTTTTCTCTCCTCTTCATCTACTTTGTCTTCATCTTCATCTTCATCTTCGGCTTTGTCCTTCATCTTCATCGACAAGCCAAGCCACTCTACTCCCATCAGTAGATCAAGCGTGGTGTTGCCTCCATCTCTTCATCCTCTCTTCACGCGACAGCAAGAGCCAATACCCTGCGTTGCTCTTATATGGCACCCCTTGCCTCGTCATTCATCAATCTGCCCCTTGCACCCTGAGCTGAGAGCCAATCCAGCTCACCCTCCTCACACCAACCCTTGTTGCATCGAAAGTGCAGTTTAGCCGCTTTCGATTTTTTCCGTTGTTGAGAGAAAAAAAAGAAAAGAAAGAAAACAGACACGCTCAATTATCGACATGGCCGCGTCAAACTCCTCCTCTTCCACCTCTTCTCTTCCCCCTTTCTCCTCGCCCAGCGTTGGCAGCAGTGGCCAGTTCTACTATCACTATGACCAGTCTACCTCTCTGTCCCATGTACACATCCACGACGACGGTCTCTACCACACTCAGCCAATTGATCCCCTGCTGCAAGACCCGGACTCTCCAGATGGCCGCGAGCAATCATGGGACGTGACATACTTTCAACCTCCTCCTGCCGACCCTTCCCTCGATCCCAGTGCCTCCAACATCTACCAGCAAGCATGCGGACCAAATGACTCGCCATACCCCATCAGCTTCATTGAAAGCAGCCCATCCATTGGCAGCGATGGCAACTTTGAGATGGTGGACCCTCCCACTCCACCGGACGCGCAGGTCATCTCGCTCGGCAGCCCATACGACTCTGACGCCTCGGTTGAGCAGCAGGAGATTAGCTACTATCCACGCCCGCAGGATAGCACGTCATTCTACCCCATGGGAATCATCGGGCTCAACAACTCTTGCACGTTCAGTACCAACTCCTTGACGATTGTTGGCACGCACGGCCCCATTGATGCTGTCGACGTTGGCACCAGACAATATCCTCTCCGCACCACGCTGCCCTATGTGAACTCGGCCAGACGCATCAAAGAAGAGAGCCAGACCCCAAGCCTTGACGAGAGGTTCTTTTCCAACAGGGTCCCCGCACGGAAGCGTGCTCAAATCGCACGATGCCATACCAAGACCGGTTCGTGGAAGCGGGCCTCTCCCGACCACGAGTCCTCACCGAGCGGCGACAAGAAGCGCAAGATCCACACGACCAACAAAAGGTTCTGCCACAAGTGCAAGAAGAACTTCCCGAGCCGAACGTCCCTCGACGAGCACACAGGCTCGGAGCACCCTCGCCCCTACATCTGCGTCTTCCATTACGCCGGCTGCAACGCCAGATTCGACGCAAAGAACGAGTGGAAGCGCCACGTTAGCACCAAGCATCTGGGCTTGAAGTACTGGGTCTGTACTGAGGGCAAGTGCGCCGACGAGCGACAGTCGTCCAACCAGCGATACGCAGGACTGCCATCGTACGGCAACATCTTCAACCGCAAAGATCTCTACACCCAGCACATTCGGCGGATGCACGCCTCAGTCATTGGCCAGGGCACTACAGACTACAGGGGTGCAGATGCAAGATCTGACCTCATGGTCAAGAAGATGCAGGAGGATGCCCTGCGCATCAGATGCAGACTCCCAACCTGGATGCCTTGCCCCGTGCAGGCGTGCGACAAGTCCTTCACCGGCGCCACCGCTTGGGACGAGCGGATGGAGCACGTGGCCCAGCAGCACTTTGACAATGCAGCTGCCGGCCGGGAGCCTCCCGTCGAGTTTGGGGGCGCTCACGACACCGTCCTGACTGAGTGGGCACAGCGCGCTGACATTCGTATTGTCAAGAGGACCGAGGTGGGTTGGGAGCTCTGTGAACCCCTGAAGGGAGAGGCAGAGTACAGAATGGCCACTCCAGATGTTGAGGAGTGAAGGAAGAGTGATCTGTTGTCTTTAATTTTCTGAATTTTCTTAATATTCTTTCTTTTTGTTCTTTACGGGCTATGGATCTGCAGTTGACTTTGATTAACTATTCCTCTCTTTGATGACTCCCTTTTTAGCTATTTTATAGATAGGACTTGTTTAGGAAAATATTGATATACACCCTTTCTTTCTTTTCTTTGTGTACAGAGTCTAGGCATAGTTCCCTTCGTCTAGGAGACCACTTTGTTGTTTGTTTCTATATTCGTCTTTCGTTTTTCTTTTCCTTTCGGCCATGATGTGCCTTTCTCACGATACCAAAGAATGTCCCAAAAAAATCATTTGCATAGACAGGATGGGAAGGATGGATCACATAGAAATGAAGCATGATTTTGCACCCAATGCAAGCAGCATCTCAGCACTGGCACAAGTGAATGGTATTGTGAAACATGTAGTCAAAGCCTCGTTCTACTACGATACAGAGCCTCGTAAGGGTTCATCTTGCATCTTGACAGACCTGAAACAGGTCCCGTTCTTGGGGGCTTTGATTTTCCACCAGGCTCCGGTTTCCATGCCGTCAAGCAGAGCCTCACGCAATATCGACTAGACCCCTCGTGGGGGCCTTGATGCAAGGCGTCAGGAGGCCGTTGACCATCTCGGTGTGGGACCGCCCGGCAGCGGCAGCGATTACAGGCCAATACGTTGAGCAGATGGTGGCTTCATATGATACGCGGGTCTTTTGATCTGCCTTGTCAGCCCTAGGAGAAGAGGTTGTGTCTCGTACGACTCCCTTGTTCTTTGTGTCTTTTTGGGTGTAAGTCATTGATGGTTCGTGACATGTGGTTTACTTCAAGATGGTGTGGCGGGAAAGTGTGGGTAGCATTCTAATATCTTTCTATTATTTCTTGTATCTTTACATTGTGTTTCCCTTCTTGCTGATAATACCGATGAATTGAGGGAAAGGGGTGGGAAAGGGGGGAGTGTTCACAACGCCGTCACAACCGGATTCGGGATTTTGCCGAACCAACAATGAAGGATGGGTAATA